ATTTTTCTTGCTTCCCTTGAATATTTGGTTGGATACTGGCGTGACCAAGCAAACACGGCCGCCAACGTTCGAGATATATGAGATGGCGATATTTCTTGGAAGTTTCGTTACCAACACCTGCAAGCGCGTAATCCTTCGCATTTTAGCCCGAATGCCCGATATTTGTACACGCCGGGGTGGAGAATATCTAGTAACCCTTGGTTGTTAGGTCTATGGAGCCCATGTCTTTTATGCATTGCTGAAATCACATTCCTGAGTTTGGCGTTTCGCTTTTTTGTACTCCATAACCATCCAAAAATATGGCACAAGTATGGTGGGTTTTCTATGTCGTCGACAAAAAATGTTCCACACATTCCAAGCAGTTTCCTTATGTTTCACTAGCAGAAAATGTAGTGCGGAAAAAAGTATACGAAGATCCATGAGTTCGCCGTTTTCGACTATAACCCCAAGCACTTTAGTATTCACATCATAGGACGTCACTCAAGTCCATACGACTTCCAATTCATGTACAGGTTATTGCCTTCGCATTTAACAATTCGTTGTAATGTAAGGAAGCTTTAAAAATACACCTCTGCTGGTTTCCCCATACGAAGGTTAACCATGTCTAGTCATTCGAGTCGTGTTGTCGTACTTGTCTTCATTGGCATGTATTATCCTAATGCAACTCGTTTTCCAAATATTCTCCAAAATTACTCAGCTCAGAATGGTAGGACCCATCAGTCTCTGGAAATATAAACCAGTGTCATATACACATCTAACAACTATGTCTGGCCCTCCACGATGCGCGGAGGACGTTTCAGAATTAAGAGGCAGAAATCTGAAAATGCAGTGGTCGGAATCCAGGAACCTTTTTGCAAAGTTGGAGGGGGAGGGAGAGCGTCAAGTTCCAGGGAACACAACAATGAAGCGCAGCTCCTCCTTTGACGAAATCCTTGATTCGCCGCGGATCAGCTGTCACTTAAATGTGTCAATCCTATAAAATTTGATACGTTATGCATGTGAATGCCATAACCAGTACTCAACGGCACGGCAATACCGTGCAAAGCTCTACAGTCGTTTTGTACCGTGCCGAGGTGGATGAGTGATTTGCCCACCTCTAAAATGAGGTAGATGTTTGTCTTTATTGCAGACAAATATTTATCGTGCATTCCTTACTTGCCCTTCCAACTGGCTCTAACTGGCTCACTGGCTTGTAAACTGCGACTCATCTGGTCACTATGGGTTAAGATAAGGAGCTGGCGTGCCTCTGAGGGGAGGGGGAGGGGCAGGGGTACTCTTGCACCCATCGTTTGTCGTCCTTTCCCCGCCTCTGGTGATAGTGGTGACGTATATATCGCATATTGTAATATATGCTTTGCCCCTGGCTACCGCCTTGTGCGCGATTGCGGTGTTGTACCCAGGTCGTGCTGGGTTCTGACCAGAAGGCGGGACATTGAGGAGGGTGCCACAAAGAAGCTCGCCGATCGGTGGTGATGACACGCAGGTCCAGTGAGTGAGTGCAGCGCTGAAGCATCGTTGATAGTTGACGCGAGTTTGTGTTGTAGCTGATTTGGAAATCTGATCTCGTGCGCCATGAGAGCAGGTTCCCAGGTCCATAGAGATGCGTCGCACTGCTGTGGGATGTGTCGCTCTGCTGTGGAATATGTACTATCGTTCTGATTGAGATGTGTTGTTCTGCTGTGCTATGTTGTGGTCACGCAGGTTTGTTTGTAATGCTGATTTGGAGGTTTGGTTTTTGTCAGGGTATGTCAATGCAAACGCGACGTTCTGTCGCTCTGCTGTGGGATGCATTGATCTGTAATGGAATGCGTCATTCAACTGCGGGTTGCGCTGTTCTGCTGTGCTGTGTTCCGACGACACGACATTGTGTTGTGACGCGTCCCCGGCGTATGTCGAAGGAGACGCGTCGTTTTGCTGTGGAATGAGTAAATCTGCTGAGATACGTCGTCCTGTTGTTCTTCTTATGCAGATGTGCCATGCTGTTGGGCTACGTTATGATTACCCACGCTTGCATTGTTACGCTGACCTGAATAATTTTGTTTCTGTCTCTGTTGGGTTTCGATGGCGATGCAGAAATTTATTGCATGGTCGTATATTGCAAGTTTATCAACACGAAGACTGAAAAAGGGTTGAGACCCCGAGAGTCTTCGGAGACCATCAAGGCATCTGTTTGGCCTAGGAACGCTATTTTGCAAGGTTCTCGGCATCAGCGCAGGTTATCTCGCTCGAGAATGTTCAGTTATCTCCAAGTTCTAATTGGCCGGTCACGGAGACATTCAAGCATCCTTATGTGGGTTAATTCGTGCCAACACTGAGAGCCTAGCAAAAAAAAAGAAGAAAAAATGACACGAGACAAAAGACCCCGTTTGCAGTTCTCGTTAAGTGGGGCTCTCTGCAGAGGCAAGATCGACCCCTCGATAGGCTTTGAGAACTTTTGATAGGCTTGCCTGTTTTTCAGTGTAGCTGAGTTGGTCGGAGCGCCTGTATCCTAATACACCTAATGGAATCGGGCAAAGTTCGAGCCGCTCTATGCGCTCATTATTTGTCCCCGGCTGGCATCGACTGTAGCCGGTGGCGGCCAGTTCGGGAAAGGTCAGATGACGGCAGGGTGTCCTACCCTCAGGGTAGAGCGCGCGGTACCCCGCGTTGCGACTCGTCAAGATTTCGTCGCAAAATTCTCCCGTTGGCACGGAGGCTCACGATCGGACGGTGGTGTCAGGGCTCCCAAAACAAACACCACTTAGCGTGAGCGCTGATCCCTCCAATTTATGTGATAAAAAAGATGAAATCAAACACCGCAGCAATTCCTCGGTTTTGGTTTCATATCTAGTGCCGAATTGAGGTGAAATAGCAATGTATGTTGGCCTGCCGCTCGCTCGCCTAGTATGCGACAGATATGAATGCACGGCAGCCTCTTCAGCTCACTTCGATGCCGGTCAAGCTTTATTTCCACATGCAGAGAGCGAGGCTAGCCGTCCAACGAATGAGCCAGTCATCAATCATTCCACCGCTCTGACCTGTCTGCTGCCGAGAGCATGCCCCTGGATCAGGACTATTGTGCGCAGCAGCTTTGTGCCGCGTTACATGCTAGGGGTCCAGGATTAACGTCTGCAGAATAGGGCACACTGGAGCGCAAATTTCCTTCATTTGTTACGTAATTTTGCATGCGTGCCGCGTTCGTTTGGCCCCAATTTAGAAACGTGCCTGCACCGAGTCCGTAGCCCGATATCAAAGGATTGTCAAACGGGTGCTGACTTCACAAAGCTTTCGGTCGAATTTCAGTCTGTGGGTCATAGGCTGCCACTTTTCAAGCTCAAAAACCTTCGTCGCGTGTCGAAAAAATCATCCGGTTCGTCTATCTGTCCAATAAAAAGCAAATGCCCATGGTAAATTACAAGACGTAGAAGTGGCGAAACGCAACCTCGAGCATCCCGGAAAGGACATTGATCAGCATATGTTTTATTTACTTTTTAGTAGTCACTCCCCTATAGCTGTGACATCGCACAAGTGCGTAATGTTTGCTTTTGATGTCGGGTTGTATCTCCGAAATTTTATTCTAGATTCCGACAGATAATTCTACCAAGACTGCCTGCGTACAATCGCAGTCGCATGCGGTCTGATCTGGACCACCTCGTCTGGTAGGAGGCGGACTGTCAGTTAAATGAAACCCAGTCAACTGTCTCGTCCTCTCGATGATTCTGAGAGGTCTCCCGTTGAGCAACAGCGTTCTGTTGGTGGTTTAGTTTTGAGCGCGTTTCCGTCGTAGTTGACTTAGTCGGCATCGGATACAAAATTAGCCCTCTCGACGCTAATATTCAGGGCATGTCTCAGTCAAACACGTTTTGTTTTTGTTTCGGTTTTTGTTGCTTGTTTAGATCGGTTCGGCCCTATTCTATTGGAAAAAAATGAAAAAAGAAGATGGGATAGTTGCTGGTGCTCATTTTAAATTTATTGATAGCAGGAACCGCATTAGACATCTTCCATGGACTTCTTAGAGGTCAGAATAGGTCATTGACCTGGAATGACCCAGGTCAACATTATTTTTTTGGAAATATAATGCCTAGCGAAGTCGTTGTCGCTTATTCAAATGCAAAACCCAGAACATTCTTGTATGATTTTGGTCGAAATGACCTTCAAAAGGTCATACAAGATCATTGACCTTAACTGAGCACGTGAACTTTTGCTTAGAAACAGTTGTCTTGGTTCTGGGGGCACTTTGGAGATCAGCCTGGAATTTGACCTTTTTTGACCTTATTTCACTCAGAGGCATGACCTAGGAACCTCAAACTTTGACCTAAGTGAATTCACGTACCGGTCAACACACCCTGTAAGTTTGGTGTCTCTAACTTTCTTAGTTCCCGAGATTTCAGGAGAGTCATATTGACCCCCCAACCAAGCGAAGGGTATGTAGCCGGCCACCCGGGCGCGGGATAAAAAGTGTATGGAAGGTGTATAATGCAGTTCCTGCTATGAGCAAATTCGAAATGAGCATCAGAAACTACCTCCTACAGCAAGCCCTAGAGTAATACTGCTAGTTGGTTTTGGTCTTGGTCTGGCCTTCACACCTGGCCTTAGGTCAACTTAATTTGTTCATTCAATGCTTGTGTTGCCCAATAAAGCATCTCGAAGATATATGGCTCGTCAAACACTCCTTTGTTGCATCAGATTGAACGATTCCTTAGAACTTGCCTTCGCTGAAACCATGGCCTGACTTTGACCTGCCACAGGTCAGCGACCTTACAAAGTATATCTAAATTTGTGGTACCAGAAAATCCGCTATTTAACTACCTACAGCTGTGCAAAATTTGGCTCGGCTACGCCGCGCCGTTCGGAAACCATTTCGGAAAAGCCTTCGGGTGGTCAATCTGACCCCCGCCCGAGCGCGCGTTAAATTACCAAGGTAACTCCAACACTTAAAGTGGCCAAGTGACGGCGTTTAGTCAGGATCTGCCCCCAGATTTGGCGCTAGGACCTGACACGAGCACGCCGTGCCGCCGCAGGAGTTCGCCGGCGTGGTGGAGTGGCACGGCGGCGCGGACGTGCCGTACGTGCGTGGCGACCGGCCGTTCCCCGTGCGACCGCTGCCGGCCGCCGAGCGGAGGCCGAGGGGCGGCCGGCGTCGGTTGCGCGGACGGCGCGCCGGCGGCGGCGAGCGCGGCGACACCCCCGCCCGACATCCGGCTGGCGCTGGTGCCAGGCCCGGCCGCCGGCCTGGCCGACGACGAGCCGGCTGGCCCGCCTGGGCCGCGCACCGGTCTGACCCCGGCCGCCCCGGCGCGGCCGCGCACGCCAGCCGAGCCGCACCGCTCGCCGGGCCGCGGCTCGGCGACCGGCGAGTCGGCCGCCGATGGCTCGACCGCGGCAGGTTCTCCGAGGCGGGACTCGACGCTGCCCGAGGGCTCCACGCCGCGAGAGAGGTCGGTGCCGCCCGAGGGCTCCGCGCCGCCTGAAGGGTCGGAGCCGCCCGAGGGTTCCGCGCCGCCAGTTGGCTCCGCACCGTCCGAGGGCTCGGAGGCACCGGAGTCCGAGCCCGACTGCTCGCAGGGACGCACCACGCCGCCCGACTGGGCCGCCGGAGGCCTGGAGGACGCCCCGGAGGTGATGCGGCGCGCGACGCTGACTCAGCTTGACACAGCCCGCACTGAGGGCGGCGGCGGGCCACCGTCGGGCGCGCTCCGGTGCTGCCCCTCTCTGGACCGCGTGCCGGAGGCGGTCGGACGCCACGAGAGCCGCCAGGAGACGGCCGTGCGCCTTATCGAGGCGTTCTGCTCGGGGACGGAAGGCAACTGGAGGGAGGCCGAGTATTCCACGCCCTCTCCCAGGTAAGACGTGGTGACGAGCCAGCCGGGTACTTGGCAGGCGGATGTTCATACAAGAGTGCAACGGACGAAGTGTGGATGCGCTAATAAATGTATTGTGTTACAGTTTGCGTCGGACACGAGGCTGGACGATCAAATCGCGTTCTACTCTGGCTTTGCTGTTTGCATATTGCAAAATACACAAAGCACCAAAATATGTGACATACGTCATGTATCATGCATATCATATGTATGGTATGTGCACACATGTGCATACACGTACATATCGTAAATCAAACAAAGCGAGATATCAGACAACACAGATATCTTCCAGCTGTTTGGCATGCAGCTGCGATCATGCTTATTTGAAATGTTCTGCGCAATGACCTCTACGTTGGGAATGGGTTAGATGTCCAGGCTTGTCACATTATCGAACTTATTTCTCTAAGCGCCTTGCTGCAATTTTACAGGTTTATGCTCAACATTTCACTGCTTTATTTCCGCAAAAAATCCGGTATTTCTCTGTAGGACATGAGAGAGAGAGAGAGAGAGAGAGAGAGAGAGAGAGAGGAGAGAGAGAGAGAGAGAGAGAGAGAGAGAGAGAGAGAAAGAGAGGTAAAGAAAGAGAGTAATAGAGAGAGAAAGAGAGAGAGAGAGAGAGGGAGAGAGAGAGAGAGGGAGAGAGAGAAAGAGAAAGAGAAAGAGAGAGAGAGAGAGAGCTGTCTGGGAACTAATAAGACGATAACATTGTCATCACTGCACTCTATAGTTACCTGCACACTGCACAAAGACATGCGCTGGTATCACCACCTTTTGCTTCAGAGCTTGGCCTCTGTCACTTATCACCAGTTCAAGTCAGTTTCGCGCAAAAAGAGTCACAAGTCTAACCAGAGGCACTCCACTTCAACTTTGCGGCGGTGATAGTAGGCCTGCCGAGATCCAGTCAATTTGAAATGGGTAGCGGATCCACAACATTCACGGCACCAGGAGTAAAGCGCTGCCAACGGCCGGCACAATTTATCTGACACACAGAAGTCTAAGGTAACACTTTCCAGCATCATAAGCTCTCGTTCGGTTTGTGGTAAAACCTATTTATCTAATAAAATGACGCACTGAACACATTTTTCGGACACATACGACCAAAATGCTGGTGACATCGTTAATAATTTTGTACAGCGATTAACATAGAGTCAGAATGGAAAATCCGCGGCCACATCTCAATGGGAACAGCTGATATATTGGAAAGTGTACGAGAATGCCTGTCATGCAGTCTGGTTTTGAAACACCTAATCTGGTTGCGTGCATGAACAATGAAATTTGTGTCTGAAAATTGAGCTTTTGCTTGAGCTTGGAGCACCACACTAAATGACACAGACATCATGCAGCTAATATTTATTTCATTTCCTCCTCGCCGACGTGAATGTTTGGCTGATGCCGGATGACTCATTTTAAGTTCCAAGTAATATATTTAACCTCATTTTGTACGCTCTGGTGCACTTTGTATATCCACTTCATCCATCGGTAGGCCCAATGGAGGATTGAGTGGCTTTTGAGGAAGCTTTGATTATGACCAAACATGATTAACGCCCACAGACAGCGGCGAATACGGGAATGCGATTTCAGCCAATCATCGTAGCGACGGGGCCGAGCTCGGTCGGCAGGAGACCCTCCTCAGTATTCACAGCGTTCTGTCCCGACAAATCCGCCGGCATGCGCCCGTCGCCTGCTGTGACGCAGCGACCTCGCTCGCCGGTCCGCAGAACGTTGGACGCCCTGCCGATGATAAAGCTGCTGTGACGCAGCGGCCCCGCTCGCCGGTCCGCGGAACGGTGGACGCCCAGCCGATGATGAAGCTGCCGTGACGCAGCGACGCTGCTGGCCGGTCCGCAGAACGGTGGACGCTCTGCCGATGATAAAGCTGCTGCTGCGGCGCGGAGCGAGCCCCGAGGCCAGCAAAGTGCCGTTCCCGGCCGTGCACCACGCCCTGCTGGCCGACGACAAGCCGCTGCTGGTCACACTGCTAGCGGCTGGGGGCGACCCCAACAGCAGGCTGTCGCGCCAGGTGAGCGCGCTGGGACCACGTCACGTCCTGTCAGGTGCGGACGTGGGGACAAACAGCTCTGCCGTCCGGGCGGGAGATGCAAGAGCAGCCAGCCGCCCCGTGAGGTACGACTTGTGACGCCCTGCTGTCGCACTAAGTAAGGGTGTGGAAGCGGCCTGCTCTCCTGGCATGCCAAAAAAACAAGGCCGATTGGTCAGTAAGCTAAAAGAGATAGCTGGTCCTTGCACTGGCTCTAAATGCCATTTGGGTAATTGGCGCTTCAATGCAACAGACCCGATTCACTTTTGTAAAGCCTCGCTGAAGTCACATGCAGCCACAACATTTATCAGATAAGAGAGAAGCGTACGGTTATGTGGTCTTTGGTTATAAGCGACATGCACGCAACAGCTGTCTCCAACATGTCATACGCCTCAGTGGTGATTGGGGCTTTACGACGCACTCAGTTGCTCAGGCTATCTGGTGTCGCCTGCCTCTCACCTTGGCAGGAAAGGCGGGCACGGACGGGGAATCGAACCCCGTACATCTGGTTTCCCACGCGCATTTTAACCACTGCAGCCATCTTGTTTCGCAGACGGGCTGCTTAACCACTACACTATCGGTCTCCCCCTCACCCCCATCCCCACCCCACACACGGCTCAATACATACATGGCCGTGGCGGCGGCGATTGTGCGATTGACAGTCTATTGACCTCATGTTAAGACAGGTGGGTTTAAACCCGATATCTCACTGGCTTCATCGTCACAATTGATGCGAAGCATTGCTACGCCTTCGCCAGCAGCACGATACATACGCTCCCGACAACGGCGAGCAGCCGCTCCCATCCTCGGTCCACCCACATGTCATGTCATGGGGGCTTTATGACGCACTCAGCTGCTGAGGCTATATGGCGTCGCCTGCCTCTCACCCTGGCAAGAAGGGCGGGCACCGCGGGGAATCGAACCCCGTACCTATAGTTTTCCAGACGCGCAGTGGTTAACGCGGACGCGTTAACCACTACACTTCCGGCACCCCCGGTCCACCCACAGCTGGGAGGTCTGGCGCCGCTGCACGTCTCGTGCGCGCTGCCGGGAGAGGACTGCCTGAAGATGACCTCACTCCTGCTGGCCCGCGGCGCCGACCCGAACGTCACCGCCGACCCGACCGAGGCGCTGCTGGACGTGGACGTGCTGCAGCGCCGTCAGCTCGCTCTGCCGCAGCCGCTGACACCTCGCACCCCGCTGCACGTGGCCTGCGACCGGCCCGGGCCCACCTACGAGGACAGGGTGGTGAGCCGGGCGGTCCGCACGCCGGGCGTCAGCACAGCGGCGGCGTCCGACAGACGATCGGGGGGTGGGAGGGGGGATGACACGAAAATGTGGCGATGTTGAGAATCTAGCGATGATCGGTTTGAAATCGATTGAAAATGTAGATAGAAAATGTAGAGATAGCGATGGAAAATGTAGTAAGCTGACTAAAACGGTATGCGTGCAGCTTTTCGATTCCCCATCCTATGAATATTTGCATGCCGAAAACAACGGTGTGATTAACCGTGAGATGAGATGCTTCGAGCACAAACTCACATCGAGGTTGCCGAACTACAGGAAATGATTTTAGTGAAACATTGCATTTTACTGGACTTTGACTCTGAAGTCAGGAGTGCAATGCCTTTTGCATTTGTAAAAATAATGCAGCATTTATATACGTCTATGAGAAAAACGTCGGTTAAATCTCGTGAACATGGAAAACAAGCTCTTTCCATGTTTGTTTAAAGCAAGCTCTTTCCATGTAAACATGGAAACAAGCTCTTTCAATGTTTACCAGATTTAATCGACGTTTTTTCTCATAGACGTATATAAATGCTGCATTATTTTTACAAATGAAAAAGGCATTGCACTCCTGACTTCAGAGTCAAAGTCCAGTAAAATGCAATGTGTCACTAAAATCACTACCTGTAGTTCGGCAAGCTTGTTATGCATTCGGGGACACTTCAGCTTTATTTTCAATCACTTGTTTTCTCCAAACGTGCAAAAATTGCGAAGTCAACAAGCATTCCAAGAGAAAAAAGCGTAGGTCATTTCCAAGAATGGCATACATTGGTAAATTCATCTTACTTGCATACTTTCCGAACTGTAAAACCACGTTTGCTTTGGTTTTCTGCCACGTTGAATAACACTGTCATGATGTGAGGACAGCACGCGTTGAATACCACGGCCGGTAGTGCCCGGACGGGTGCAAGCGGCTCACTCTGACCCGCAGCGGGGCAACCAGCCTTCAACAGCAAATTTCTGAGGAGCCTTTTAACCAAGCCGATAAGCCTTGACGCATTTTAATAGCTTCAATTTCGCTTGTTTTATCAGCTTTAGTATGGCTTTCAGCCCTGTGCATTTTGGAGCAAGGCAGAGCTTGATTTTTAAAATACTCTCCAAGAAAACGGTTTTGAGATTTTCAGGGAAGTAGCAGAAGTGAATGTCGAGTACACGGAGTTTATTCTTTTATCCGGAAGGTAGTGAACTTCAATGGGAAACTTAAATAAGGCTTATGGGACAGGGAATTGGTGTGGCTGGCGTGACATATCAAAGCACGGATATGATGTTTTTTATCCCGCTTTATTCTGGAAAAGAGAGTATTCAGATAGAACGAACGAGCAGAGCCAATGCAGAGACCCACAAAGTTTGGCCCAGGGGCACTTTCGCGCACTGAAAACCGCCGCCTCTCCTATCTCCCATTGCACGCTCATCAGGCGACACCCGCCTTACCGCACCCCGCGGCCGTCAGCGCCAACGCGTGCGGTCCTCCCGGCGCCGCCACCCCTCGCCATCCGCACCCCTCTGCCCAGGTCAACCGACGCATGATGAACCTGCTGGACGGCGCCGGTGCCGCCACCCCTCACCACATCCGCACCCCACCTATCCAGGTCAATCGACGCCTGATGGACCTGCTGGACGGCGGCCGGCGCCGCCCCCGCCCCTCCTCATCCGTACCCCTCTGTCCAGGTCAACAGACCCCCTGATGGACCTGCTGGACGGCGCCGGCGCCGCCGCCCCTCGCCACATCCGCACCCCCCTGTCCAGGTCAACCGACGTCTGATGGACCTGCTGGAGGGCACCGGCGCCGCCACCCCTCCCCATCCGCACCCCTCTGTGCAGGTCAACCGACGCCTGATGGACCTGCTGGACGGCGCCGGTGCCGCCACCCCTCACCACATCCGCACCCCACCTATCCAGGTCAACCGACGCCTGATGGACCTGCTGGACGGCGCCGGCGCCGCCGCCCCTCCCCATACGCACCCCTCTGTCCAGGTCAACCGACGCCTGATGGACCTGCTGGACGGCGCCGGCGCCGCAACCCCTCGCCACATCCGCACCCCTCTGTCCAGGTCAACCGACGCCTGATGGACCTGCTGGAGGGCGCCGGCGCCGACGTCGAGGCGCTCTGCAACGGCCACACGGCCATGACGCTGGCGCTGCGCGGCGGCGACATGACGCTGGCCGTGGACCTGATGACGCGCGGCGCCGACCCGCTCCGCCCGCTCGGCCCGCCGCACCACGACGCGCTCGGCCTGGCCGTCGCGCCCGGCCTGGAGTCATGCTTCGAGCTCGAGGACCGCAAACAGCTGGTGAGCGGCCGCGCTGGGTGGTGGCCGCGCAGGGTGATGGCCGCGCTGGGTGATGGCCCGCACTGGGTGGTGGCCGCGCTGGGTGATGGCCGCGCTGGGTGATGGCCGCACTGGGTGATGGCCGCACTGGGTGATGGCCGCGCTGGGCGATGGCCGCACTGGGTGATGGCCGCACTGGGTGATGGCCGCGCTGGGTGATGGCCGCACTGGGTGATGGCCGCACTGGGTGATGGCCGCGCTGGGTGGTGGCCGCACTGGGTGATGGCCGCACTGGGTGGTGGCCGCGCTGGGCGATGGCCGCACTGGGTGATGGCCGCACTGGGTGATGGCCGCACTGGGTGATGGCCGCGCTGGGTGATGGTCGCGCTGGGTGGTGGCCGCACTGGGTGATGGCCGCGCTGGGTGGTGGCCGCACTGGGCGATGGCCGCGCTGGGTGATGGCCGCGCTGGGTGATGGCCGCACTGGATGATGGCCGCACTGGGTGATGGCCGCACTGGGTGATGGCCGCGCTGGGTGATGGCCGCACTGGGTGATGGCCGCGCCGGGTGATGGCCGCACTGAGTGATGGCCGCACTGGGCGATGGCCGCGCTGGGTGATGACCGCACTGGGCGATGGCCCCGACCGCAGACGGTCCTGGCGCGGAAGTGTGGGATGATTGGGTGAGATTATGCCGTGATGCGTTTGATTCAAATCAGCTGACATGGCACAGCCACATGCATTGTGGGTGAGCAGGGTCGAAAATCGTGAGCTATGGCGCAAGGGGAATATGTGCATTCGGCAGCTGGGTTCATGGTTCATGAATTCATGGTCTTATGTTAGCCGACATCATAGGTATATTCGCAGCGACCAGGATGATTGAAAATATATGCCTTCGACGTCATTCATGACGTCATCGCCAAAAATGTGACCGGGCAACAAAAATTATACGTGCCGTCGTGTAGAATCTTTTTTGGACATGCAATTTTTCTTATTACTTGATCAAAGTAAGACGGAAATGGTGCAGCAGGCTCATTCATGAACAAGTCAGTTTGCATACCCACGATCGACGACCGAGAAAGAGAAAGTGTATCATACCTCACAAACCGCATAATTTGTAGTTTCCATGGAAAATGTACATGCGTAGGACATTCGGACAAATTTTTGACGTCACACATGCGCAGTTGTCACGAACAAACGAAAATGTAAACAAATAACGTGTTGCACTGCGAACGGGTCACATAAAATAGTGCACTCTTGTTACGCGGTGAATGCAGCGGATGCAGCGGCCAGGTCGGGTCTATGTCTGGCAGCGGAGTCTTGTTCCGACCACGGCGGACAATCGGTTTGACCTCATATCGATTGCCGACCTCCCACTTAAGTCCCACCATATCATATTGTGTCAGTGCGAGCTAAACAAAGACAAGGCGCGTCGTTCGACTGTCTGCTTACTTTCGTATTTGAGACTGGTGTCATCAAAGACGGGGTGCTGGCTGCCTAGGTCACGGCCATTTGTGCGGCGCTGACGTCACTACTACAGGACTACAGGGCAGGGGCAGTGGCCTTCCTTAGAGATCTGCTTAACCGATGTGAATCGTTCTCAGACCATGCTGGCCGGTTAGAAACGACCCTTCTCCCCTGCTTCACGTCCTTTCTTCACTTTACATGAAAACATTTCCTTTCATTTTTCTAAATTTCATTGGCCACCCAGACATCTTTATCTGGCCACATCTTTCAGCTGGCACAACTGTTGACCCAATAACAGCATGGACGCATATTCCCGTCTGGGCCATGACTGTCGTCTCGTCTTCGGCTGTCGTGATAGTTACTCACGGACTACTCGGTGCTCAGCTCTTCACGGAAATCGCAAAACCGATATCTCAGGACCGAGGCCTCCATTGTTTTAATCCCTTCTTCAATGGGATGATCTTGATCGATTTCGACTCAGTTGCCGACGCAGTCCACCTCTATCTCGATGGGCGTTTTGCAGTTAAGCTGTCACATCTCTCCTCGTAGGGACTACGTTTATTTTAAGATCGCGTGGCTAGCCGAAAGCGAAATGCTCGTGCCCGCTCCTTCTTGATGTCCGCATTGCAATGCCGTTTTATCAACCCGTTCAGACCCGTATATATGTACATATATGTATAAACATACGTATATATATGTATATATATATATATATATATATATATATATATATATATATATATATATATATTAGCATGGAGAATTTCGTCTGTGACATTTTTCTGTAACATCTCGGCCCAGTTATTATATAAAAAATGTTTGTTATCCGATAGGAAGTTTGAAGAAGGCGAAACAAAATGTTTTTTCAGTGAGAACATTGGATTCACCTGGGACACAAAATGCGTACCCATAACACTCATAAAAAGCAGTGCATGTGTCGACAGCGTGTGTTTTAGGTCACTTTGCGAGGGAATTGACGGTAAAAATATCACGACAGGCGCCCTCTTCACCTCTGCCTACCCTTCCTCAGTGCTTGGTATTCGACATCTCTGCCCACGGTCCTAAGTCAGCTATGGTTCATGGGTTCTTCTTGTTCCCTCGGGCCTGTCGCGCGCCCGTTTCTTACGAGTGGTACTGTTGTGAGCAGTTGTGAAGAAGGAAGTTCCAGGCTATACGCTCAGTTTGGATTTTCCTGAGACAGAACCTGCAGCGGCCCTGGTTCGTGGCTAAGCTGATGCAGTGGTTGGAGGGAAGTCCAGCCGCCTCACTGTTCCACTGAGCCCTGGCCTCTCTTACTGACGAGGGTTCTTCAGAAGCTCGAGCACGACTTCTCACGTAAAAGCCAGCTAGTCCATGTTCTTGCCGCTGCACTCTGAAAGCCTCCGCCGACTAGCCACTTGCAGCAAGCTGACTGCGTTGATAATGACGGTGCCGTATTGCTTGTTCCAGTGAACGGTTCCCCGGTAGACCACGGCTAAGCCGTCAACAAGATCAACGCCGCTCATGCGCTTACATTCGTACATCAAAATCTGCTGGTTGACCGGGACTCTCTCCTCCTCCCTGGATGACTTTGTTGTCTTTTCACTTTACGACCAGCACCCCACTGCCGGACTGGTACCAGCGTTCCCCTCTATAAGCTGCTTCAACTCCCCTTTCGTCTGGTAGAGAGCACTTCTTCAGCCTGTTTCCACGCGCGTTATCTTAGGCACGTGGCCGCTCTGCCGTAGCGTATCCATCACGACATATGAGTTGAAGAAGTTGCCAAAGAAGACTCGGTGGTTTTCGAATCCATCTCCGGATGGATGGTCAGCAGCAGTGCCACTTCTTCCGAGTACATCGGCTCAGTGTTTGGCCGCTTATTCCGTTTTGGAGGGCATTGTTTGAGACAAAGGCTACGTGGCGACTGAGACGACAGCGTCGGAGACTACGTGGCGACAGAGACGATAGAGACAGAGACGACGGAGACAGAGATGACAGAGACAGGAACGAGACAGATAAAGACTACATGGCGACATAGACAGCAGATACAGAGACTACGTGGCGACAAAGACGACCGAGACGGAGACGACAGAGACAGAGACTACGAGGCGACAGAGATAACAGAGACAGAAACTATGCGGAGACAGAGACGACAGCAACATGAAACTACGCGACGACAGAGAGAGTGCGAGAGAGAAACTGCGTTGCGACAGAGACGGCAGACGGAAAATACGTGGCGGCAGAGATGACAGAGACATGAAATTGCGTGACGACAGAGACAGTAGCCAAGGTGATGAATGGAGACAGCTCCCTACAGAGATGGAGAGCTGTCGAAACTCAAATGTGCAACATCGAGACCTGAAACAGCTGAAGATTTTCGCCCGGTGCTGGGGCCGTCCCGGTATCTTTGATGGCTTTGGTTCATGCCTTCCGATTTGCCCATACGTAGGGGGGGGTGGGAGGGTTCGAGTCGCTTCAGGCGCCCGCTGTTGCTGTTGCTCTTACTGGATGGTTTGCGGCTTGTGGCAGCGATCGCGCTGAGGGTTAGGTGACATCAGAGGGCAGCACAGCACAAGTGCACAGCTGTGCTGAGCACTTACGTGATATTAAGCTTTCGCGGCATAATTCTGAAGTGGACCCAGAATTCCACGATCGGGCGGTGGCTCACGCAAAAGGCATCGCTTAACGTAACATACGGTCCCATAAATCCATCTCATCATGGGTTTCGTGCCAAGTCTTAAGAAAGACTTTTTGGAATGAAATTTTGAAACAAGCCATGTCTTCTTGAGTCACAATCCGTGTCGACTCTAAATGGCTGTTGCGTTACTGTAAGCCAAGGCCAAAATCAACCTCATGTGTTGCGAGTGAGAGCAAAAATAGATCCCAGAGACCGGAGTCGAGCGGTAGTTTTTGATGACCTGGCTAAGAAGATGAAACATCCTATGATAAGAAGACAAGCTAAACACTGATTAAACTTCCTAGGAAAAGAAGGGTAGTTATTCGCCCATGGGAAACCTCGAAACTCGCAATAGGCAATAGCTGTCTCCATACATCAAGCGGGAACGCTTGCTTCTGACCGTATTATTCGGGTTAAGATGGATAAATGGCTCACCCCCGTCGATCTTCTCCAGACGGCTGAACAAAGTCACGACAGCTGCGCAGTTGCGGGATAGCGTAAGATTCACCGATAGCGTAAGATATCCGATAAGACAAGATACCGATAGCGTAAGATTGCGGGATAGCGTAAGATTCATGGAAATTTGGACACAGCAAATACAGATATTGAAGACCAAAGTGTGGAAAATACGAGAATTGCGAGGAAATGCAAACATATGAGCTATGGTGAAGATAATGCGGAACCAGTAAAATATTCGAAGCAAACTATTGAAAGCAGACGAAAGAGGCAAAGCAAATATAACTAGGTAGACACAGGCAGGGGGCGAGTACGAGTGTGTTTAATACGTGTCTGCCGTGCGTTATCCGATATATCTGTTACAGGTCCGGACCCTCTTGGCGTACGGTTGTGACCTTCTCTTCGAGTATCCTCTGGCCGAGGAGGGACAGACCGGCAACATTTTGGAATTCGCAACTTGGGTCAACAACACAGACGATACGTATGTTTTCGGTTGGCAGCCAGAAGGCACCGTTCATAGCATTATCGTTGTTTTGCTAAACCACCGTGGTGACCTACTAGACAGCCAGTTCGCCACGGTCTTGTGTCTTTGTGTGTTTTGTGTGTTTGGAGCGTGTGTTATGTGTTTGGAGCATAAGTTTATGATGCATGGCCCGTTGAAGGCAGTATCCCACATTTGTACGGGGTTTTGAATTTAAATAACCACCTTCAACATAATTCGGTACAGCCCTCAACCCTGCCCTTCATAAGATCTTATCTGCTCTAGCTTCTTACCTACAAGCCCGCGAAGATGCGCAAATTTTTTCGGCTCACATCTGGCGTTTATGAGTACGATTACCAAATGCAGCGACCGGCCATTGGCTCTCAATCGCTGTTTGCAAGATACTATGACGTAATCAAACAATGACGTATGAGGAACATATTTACCAAGCAGAAAAATTGGGTTGTCTAGAACAGTCTTTTCCGCTTAAAAGCATACAATCAGTTACAAGTAAGTATATTTCATCGCATCTGATGCTTGCTTAAATATCTCCAGATGCGAAACATTTCCTTTAACGTAACAACGTCGGCCCGCCGCGCATTCCGCGTTATCGTCTACTGCCACCCAGCTGCCTGCTCAGGCCGTAGATCACCGTGCGGTGTTGTTAGAAACCTGCCGGTGCTGCGAAATAAGAAAATCCAGGAACACATCCATAGCATTAAAACACGCGCAATGAATACCCCATAGACGGCTGAGAATATGGGCGCGATTGCGCGACATGTCGGAGAAGTATTCTCACAACCTTACCGAGTGGCGCCACCTTTGGGAGTGCCCCCCCCCCCGCCCTTTCAGGGGGAGGGTTAAACGACATGCCTTGTACGTAATTTTATGGGTGAATTGCTGGTTACGACATCCGGCACCAATCAACCCCCAAAGTTGTGCAGATCTTTTTCACTCACGTGCAAAGCACAAATATGTGGCCGGCACTGAGACAGCACCATCGGTATCAATGCGAGGAACCCCACGAAGGAGAGTATTCTCACGAAAGAAATGTTCTATGATGGATGGAACTATTCGCCAAGAAATTTGAAAAAGAGCTTCATGAAAGTAGGCAAGGGGTGCATGAACTGCGACTTAGATCAAATCGCAGGTAACTAATTCTGTGTTTAAAGCGGAGAAGAAAGGGCAGGTACAGAACAAAGAAATTCCAAATGCTCACCGACGTAGACATGTGCTTGTAGTATATGTACATGTGGAACTACATTCACAAGGAGGCAATGCTTGGTTAGGTCTATTAAGGATCTTCCCTCTCGCCATCTACCACCAAGTGTCGGGCGAGCAAAAATTGGTGAAGTCCAACAACGGACCTCTCGGCAAATCAGATGCAAGACCACCTTAACTGGTGCAAACTTAACACGTGTGCATGTATGTGAAAATAATGGACATGTGCTCATTGCTCTTTGGATTTTGGGACTGACCTCGCGAAGCATTCTTTGTCAAAGCGGTCTGAGCGACACACGGCCGCGCGGCCGATAATCGCCCCAGGTCCAGGAGCGGACACCCGTGCAGGCTAGACACCAGACCAGCCAAAACGGTACAGACGTGGTGCGCGTGACACATGGAGACATGTGTCGACTCCTCTGTCGCTTTGGTGATAGAACATGCCATTGTTAAAGCTGTTCAGCATAAAACCGTCTGTTTGCGCTCGGAGAACTGTTCATGAACAGAAAACAATACCTTTTTCCGGCGATTATGTCAAACAATCTCACCAAGATTTTTCCTGTATAAACTACACTCATTTGAGAACTTGCTACAAGGTCGCAATACCACACTAATCCTTGACGTCGGGAAAGCCAATTGAAATGACTGTAATGCGGGGAGAAACCAGGTGTTGGGGTAGGTCAGGCCAACCTTAGAGAACGAACCCCCCCCCCCCTCAATCCGATTTTGGTAAGTGCCACTCCAGCGGCAGGCCACCGTGCCCCTATGTCAGCTGGTGGTGACTGGCCGACCGTGCCGTGTGGGTGAGCGGTGCGCCTGCGGCGGTGCGTCGGAGACCGAGAAGCCTCTCCCGCACACTTCTGAGAATACCGGGCGTGGCAATGAGGAGATTTCATCCAACTCGGCTTGAGCTCGAGGCGGTGATGACATTTTAGCATGCGGGAAAAGGAAGACGGCTTTCTTCGACAACCCGCAAGGGCGTAATTTTGCAATGGAAGTTCGGAGGTTGAATTGCGAATAACTCCGAAAACTCCCTGCAGACACTGCCCCCTCAAAACCACCACCGTGTATTACCCCGACATTGACCAATTTTGCTCTCATTTTGAGGGTGGTGGGGTGGGTGGGGGAGGGGGCAAAAGCGTTGCTATTGTGAGTTTTGGCAGTTTCACATCTAACCTGCAGGGAGATGCGTTACTGTCTATGTGGCGATCCCCGCCCGGGCGGCCACCCGCCACTCGGAGGGCTCTAAAAATGGAAGCATGACAATCCATTCCCAAAACCAATAGAATGGTCGAAACACATCTCCATATTTCATAACTCGTGGAGAGCCCCGTTGTTGGACTGAAAACAGTTTTCGACTGGGCGGCCGCTTGTCACTTCGAGCAGTTTTAAGACGGAAGCTTACTAATGCTCGCCACCAAAGCCAAGGAACGGCTGACTTCTGCCTTCATATGACACTTGTGTGCGCACGTGCCACTTTTGCGCCGTTTTGACCGGTCTTGCATCCATCCCCCAGAGAGGTCCCTTACTGGACTCGGAGCAATTCAGCCGACGTGGCGCCTCCTAAACCGTGAGACTGAACCCGCAAGCGATGAGGCGGTCCGTACAGCTCTGCTTTTTAATCACACATGCACACGTACTACATTTGCGCCAAATTGGGCGGCGTTATTTGCCGTTGTTGGACTTCGCCATTATCGACCGGCCGGCCGTCAGCCGCTTCCGCGCCTGCTCGGGTGCACCTTGCCACCGCGTCGCCGGGAGGGCGGCCGCCTGCCACCTGGTGATAAACGACGCGAAGGAGGTCCCTCGGCAGATCTAGCCTGACAATGCCTTATAGGTGTAGACATAGTGGGACCCCTTGACCTATAGCCATTTGCACGTAAATTTGACTGCGTTTTTGGATTGGGCTGAACATATCTGATTATGTAGATCACTTCCGTGAATGTCCACTAAGGTCTCCACACTGACCACTCAGCGTGAGCACCGCGCATTGGCTGTCGCCAACAGCGGCATTGCTCTCCAGATATATTTGTCTTCATCATTCAGCTCACAAAGTCTGTGAACTCAGTTGTGCTCCCACGCACGGGCACGTACGAGCACAACAGACATCAAGCCTCCATACATCTCACTACGCTCCGGACCCAACACCACACCCCCCTCGCCCATCCACTCACCACTACCACCATCGTCGTATTTCCTCATTATCCTCCTGACCCCTCAAAATTCACCTGCGCAGAATACATGAGCAGCCATGATCTACCTGACCGGACAGCTTCTCATCGTCTTTTTGATCTTGGCATTCTCCTCCTACTCCCTAGTTATCATTCTGGTCATCGCTATCCCTCCAAATCCCTACTTTTTCTCTGGCCGGTCGCCATTCCCTAAACCTCAGTAATACCTAACATCTGCCACCCAGCCTTACCATCCCCATAAACATTCATAATCACTCCGCCATCCTCCTGACCCGTCTTTATCTTCCGTCCCATGCTCCTGAACCGGCGGGTCTCCTGCTGACCCCGCGTCCGGCCAACAGTCTGCTGACAGCGCCGCCACACCACCTGAAGGGCGCCCAGCGCAGCCAGAAGAAGCAGCGCGAGGCGTTCCTCGACTTCCTCGCCGACCTGCTGGCCGACGAGCTGATGCGTCACGAGCAGATGGCGCCGCTGGTCAACGAGGGCCTGTTCGAGGAGGCCGACGTGGCGACGGCCGAGCTGGCTGGTCGGGAGGAGTCCGGCGCCGACCCGCGCGCGCCCCGCGGCGGCGCCGATGGGCAGCGACGCAAGCGCACCAAGCGGAAGCGAGTGGTGCGCAGCCAGCTTGCGGCTCGGTGGCTGTTTGATGCTGATGACTGCGGTTGGATGATGATGACTGCTGGTTGATGGAAAATGTCTGTCAGCAAATGGCTCAGGCAGCTAGTCTGCTAGATATTTCGTTTTCTTCCTTTTACACACTATGTTATGTTAAGCACATTCCATTTTAGTTGCGAGACTGAGAGTTTGAATAGGTCGACTTGTAATCACATTCGTATCAGAACACCCATCACTCATGCGTGGTGTGTTTGCACCTTATCCACTCACTTATGACAACTTACAGAAGCTACGAAAGCCCGCAGGTTTTGCTTGTCAAAAAAACTTCCACTATAGATTTACGCGACAGAGATCTCTACCCAATTTTCAGCTCGAAAGAGCATGCTCAAGCGCCCTAGATCTGTCGTTTTTGTGTCGGCAGCTATTATCGGCAGAGTGCTTCTGCCCGCTGTGCGACCGCGTGCTCGGCAAGTGCTTCAAGGGCTGTCCAAACTACGGTCTGCCGTCTCCCAAGCTGATGTCGGCAGAGCTGGCTGAGCTGGACACGGCAGACATCGACTACGGGTGAGAGCGCACTACGACATGCGAACACTGTCCTCAGACATGTGAGGGGACGGCTTCGGGTGAGGGCGCACCGCGGCAGGGGCCGACACCGTTCTCAGACATGTGAGAGGACGGCTCGGGAGAGAGCGCACTGCGGCAGGGGCCGACACCGTTCTCAGGCATGTGAGAGGACGGCTCGGGAGAGAGCGCACTGAGGCAGGGGCCGACACCGTTCTCAGGCATGTGAGAGGACGACTTCGGGAGAGAGCGCACTGCGGCAGAGGCCGACACCGTCGTCAGAGTTGCGGGAGGGGGGTGGGGTTGGGGGCGCTGTGGGATGGGGCTGGAGAATCCTCAGTCTTGGGGAGACGACTTTGCATGGGAGCATACCACGAGGAAGCTGAGGCATCGCCCACTGTGAGATCCCGTTGCCGAGCGCAGGGCCGGGGAAATTCTCATCGTTCTCAGTGGCGGCAGGGCGGAGGCGAATGAGGCTCTCATCAGTGGCTGGAAGGCAGCAGTGGCCCTCATCGTCCTCAGTGGGGGAGGTGACTGGAAATGATGCTTCACCGCAACAACAAGACCGGGACAAGGCAACACCCAGACAAAACAAGATAAGACTCGCACAACAGCTTGGCTGGAGTCCACACCGTCCTTGGTCGTGGGAAGGACGACTTAGTGAGACCGCGCTGCTAGGGCGAGGACGAGGAAGTCCTTACGGCCCTCACCCATGGACGACGGTGGCGAGGAACAAGACCCCTTCTCACCTGGAAGTAAGACGCTATGATCCTACGTTCTTGGATATGGCGGCTGTGATTGGGCTATCACTCTCCGCCGTCTTCGAAAAAGCCAGCAAGAAGTGAAACTAGTACTGCGTTCTTCATCTCCAGGGAAGGTGACTGGATGTCAGAGCTGTTGGTGTCCGCCAAAAGGTAATGGCACGACTTGTGTAGGCCCACGACATTTGCAGCACGGGACGGGTTTGTGGGCGAAATATCACCGCTCGACCTGAACCAACCGACGTACCTATCAGTATCGCAGTGCACAGCTGACTGCCAGCTGCGTCCTGTGACCTGGACGCGGTCCCGCTCGTGGCGGAGGCCCTGCTCCGCCGCGGCAACCCCGGCCCGCCCACGCCGCGGTCTCGCCCGTGACGCGCGGGGCCGCGTCACGCATCTAGGCAACGTGGGAGTTGAACGGTCTGTATTCGAGAGGACTGGGATAGGTAACCGGTTGCTGCTGGTTGCTAGGAACCATACGGCGCACCCAGCTGGGTTCAGGGTACAGAGTCATTCCAGGCCGCGGTCAAACTACAACAAAAAGGCGCCATATTCTCGGAAATAGTTAATTGGCAGCGTAGCAACTTCGGCACGTTGTCATCATGGATGGCAAAAGCGGGCGCGCGACAATGCGCTATGCACTGGGTGGGCGCGGCTGGGGCTTCCGCCCTAGTCGTACCCACTCAGTCACGGGCGCGCCCAGCCCTCGGGCGTTGTCCAGTAGCTCCAGCAGTGGTATCGCTAATAGTTCCAGATAGCACCAGCGATGGGACCGCTGGTCGGTACTAGTCTCCACGCCATATCAATGCTTTTGGTAACCTTGCGTGAATGCCATTCAAAAATCGTTTTCTGACCGACAATTTTTTTCCCCAGGTTAACGTTTTCTGATTAACAGAGCCCGATTGTCAAATGAATTTTGACACGTTTGACCTTTGACACGTGCTGTAACAAAATGGTCAGCCCGGCGATCCAATGCTGGTTGCCCTGTCTGCTTTTAAATTACAGAACGGGACCACCCCAAAATGTCGCGCGATACCCTCGTGGCCATCTCGGCTCGACCCACCATAGCCGGTGCGCCCACCATCCCCCTCCCCCTGCCTCCCCTGGTCCTCCCGCCCACCGGCTCACGGGCAGACCTTTAACCTGAGACCGTGCCGTGCCCCGCCTTCAGATCGGACCTCGAGGCCGACTTGGACGAGGACGAGGACGGGACGAGAAGGGGCGCACGTGGCCGGCAGCGGCGCAGGCGGCGTGCAGGTGGGTGGCTGCTCGAGCGCTGGCGTCGGGTACGGGCGCGCCTGTGGCCGGCCGGCAGAGCGCGACGGCACAGGGTAGCCCAAGACGTATACCTGTGTAGCTCCGCTGCAATGATAACCACCACTGGGGTCAGGACTGAGGAGGAGGACTCGCATGGAGTGGGCTACTTCGCTCTTGTTTCCACGCTTACGTGCATGGCAGCTCTGCTGCGACGTGGGGAACTTTTGTCCTTAATTGCGACTGCGATTTGGCTGATACGAGGTCGTCGGGTCATAAGAATGGGACAATGCGTCACGAAATTTCGCCTGACTTGGGTCCATTTGTTATGGAACTCAGTGGCTGTGAGGGCGATCAGCCTGCAAGTTGACCAGAACCAGTCTCGTTCCAAGGCATTTCTGAGCGAGGACAAGGACAGGGGGATTCATATCGAAAGCGTGCAAATATGCTCGCGTTGAGACTGAGCCTTTTAGCCTGAAGGCAGATGATGCACGCCCCAAATGCGCCAGTAATGAGAGAATAATCGAGCCCAGTATAAGACCCGTCATTTGCATAATCACGTTCCAGTGCTGAGATGGGACGCTCAGCCATCTTGATATTTCCCTATCGGGGTCAGTAAGCGTCTACCGCCTACTCACACTCGGGGCACAGGGGTGGGACTGTTTTTAGCCGCAGCTACCAGTCGATTGGTTTCGTTTCCTTCATGAGAGCTCTCGTGACCCGTCTCGATAATAATATGAGTGACTTGCAGTTCAAGATGTGTGGTCTCGCCTTAGCCGTCGTACAGCGCATCTCGTGCTTTACGCGCCGCTGAAGAAGGCACAACTGGTGATCCTGCTCTGCTGCGAATAAGGGGAACATGGCGAAATCAGGAGCTTGCCCGCATATAACGGGGTTATGATATGTGTTTTACCACTCTTAATGCTTCTACCACTCTATTATATGTGTTTTACCACTTTACCACAATGGACTCAATTCGCCAGCTTAAGTGGTGGTTGCTGCTTGTCGCTATGAACGCAGCCGACATTGTCATGGCGGCATGTTATAGAGAATTCACCTACCCCAGCTTGCGTTACTTTGGTACTCATGTTTGTATGATACGTTTTAGATAACTACAACAAAGATAAGTGGCCATGCATCTTCGGTTTATGAGCTTCATCCCTTAATTCGCTGTCAAAGGTTGAAGATGAATCCCATTGCAAGTCAACGCGACGTGCTAGAATGCACGCTGAAATGTGTGCTTTTTCTACTCATTCGATTGCATTTGATGCTTGTTATGACGGCCGCGACAGTGTGGTCGTCGTATCTTCTTGTCCTCTTCTATACTTAGCATGATCAGCTTGTTTCGAACTTGCAAAAGACATTTCCGTTTGTCGCCAACTAAGCCTACTCAAAACTTTGAACCAATCAAATCTCTTCCGATAATGTTTTGGCTACGCTACTGCCTTGCAGAAACCGTGTGAAAAGTATTCGTCTTCAATATCAATATCGTATTGAAGTTACGTAAAGAATGTCGCTGCTGACGGCCTGATACCAGCGACGTGCGACGATGCTGTTTCAGAGGGGGCCGTATACCGTACTGACGCGTGCCGATACTGTTTCAGAGGGGGCCGTATACCGCTGACGTGTGACGATACTGTTTCAGAGGGGGCCGTATACCGCTGACGTGCGACGATGCTGTTCAGAAAAGCGGGCCGTAAAAAACCGCTGACGTGTTGACTATCTGTTTCAGAGGGGGCCGTATACCGCTGACGTGTGACGATGCTGTTTCGGAGGGGACCGCATACCACTGACGTGTGACGATGCTGTTTCGGATGGGGGGGCCTTATAACCGTGACGTGTGACGATCTGTTTCAGAGGGGGGGGCCTCAAACCGCTGACGTATGACGATGCTGTTTCGAGGGGACCGTATAACCGCGGCGGTGCGACGATGCTGTTTCAGAATGGGCCGTACACCGCTGACGTATGACGATGCTGTTTCGGAGGGGACCGTTTACCGCTGGCGTGCGACGATGCGGTTTCGGATAGGGCCGTATACCGCTGACGTACGACGATGCTGTTTCAGAGGGGACCGTATACGACTGACGTATGACGATGCTGCTTCAGAGGGGATCGTTTACCGCTGACGTGTAACGATATTGTTTCGAAGGGGACCGAACACCGCTGACGTGTAACGATGCTGTTTCGGAGGAGACCGTTTACCGCTGACGTGTGACAATGCTGTTTCGAAGGGGACCGTATGCCGTTGATGTGCGACGATGCTGCTTCAGGGGGACCGCATACCGTGCTGACGCGTGCCGATGCTGTTTCGGATTCGGCCGTGCATCGCCGATATCCACCGATGCTGTCTCAGAAGCAGTTTTTCACCGTTGCCGTGCGTCGAGGCTTTTAAAATGCGGCCGTGTATGACCCACGTGACCCGGGCGTCGTGCTGTTTCAGAGGCAGCAGAAGGGAGCGCGGAAATGCGGGTGGAAGTGGGTGCTCTGCTCGGTCCTGACGGCAAGGTCAGGTCACGGGGGGGCTCACCACGCCACCGGCCAGCGTTGTACTGTCACCGAGCGTCGACATCGGGGCTAGGCGACGGGTTACTGAGTCGGTCTAGCCCAGTGCACGGAGACGACGATGGCAGAGGCAACCGAGCAGTAGTAAAGTACGAATGCTGCCGTGAAATTTACGCGCTCTGCACCGCCGCTACGTCTTAGGAATCTACTAGAACAACAAGTTATTTACATGCTTTTTATTTCAACTAAGTCAACGAAATAATAAGGAGGGAAGTTGGAAACCGAACGAGTCTTAATTGAACTATGATGACAAGATAGGCTTAGAAGGTCCAGCCCGGTCCGGCCTCGACGCGATATACGAACGAGCATGGATAGAAGCGTGGTCCAGCTGTCGACTACCGGCATCTCAGCGACAGAAAACCAACCGATGAGGGCACAGGAGTGACCTGAAAGTCCGACAGCCGCATTGGCTTAAGTATGGTCGGCGTGTGCATCCAGGCACGCGTTCTTGCGCACAAGCCATGGATCCGTCCGTTTTGTGCGTTTCAGGCTTGGTGTCAGATCTCGGCAACCAGGGCAGATCAATGTGCGAAAGAGAGGGCGATTGTCCTGTGTTGTTCTCAAAGTCGCTGAGAAATCTCAAGAGATCTCAACCATATCCGACCCACGGATATGGTAGCAATTGACATCAGGGAAGCGTTCAATGTCCCTTTTTAAGTCAATGTCGAATGTGTCATTCTCAGGCCTGAACCGAGGCCGCTAGGGGTATGCGAGCTGCATAGGTAAGTAGGCCAACATATCCAATTCATTGCAGCCTACGTCCGATGCAAACATTGTTTTGAAATCCTTCGGTCACAACTGCGGAACGCATACACATTCATTTTCTCGATTTTTTTCATCAAAATTGACCCGCTCTGGTATACCTAAGGCTAGCCAATTTCAGGTCACGCTATTTATAAATTGCGCGAACGCTAAACAACAGCACACTTTCACCTCCCAAACTCATGGAAGCCGGCTATTCCGAGGCTGTGACGGGGCCTGTCCGAGTGAGTTATGAATTGCGACCCGCTTGATTTGTTTGCACTTTTATTCAACTTATATGGTGATTGTGAGCCAGGCCGCATGTCTAGTGAGTCTTGGCGTCAACTAACCCGAAGTTTTGTAGCTTCAGCGGCTACGGCCCGGCGCCGGTCTGTCACGTGTTTGACGGCCTTGGCAGCGCGAGGCGATTTTGATCCACGAAATCGAGGAATATCAAATCGCGCGTGTTTTACAGCCACTGATCACAGCGCCACGAAGTTTTAAGGAATAAGCAGTCCATCTTTTAAAAAGATGTGCTGCAGTAATTTTACGGAATGATTAAAAAGAGGACTTAAAACCACAGATGGACTAACTGTTCGGACTATCGTCCTCGTTTGATGCGTTATATATGGACAACGTTTCGACCACTTAATTATCCGGCCATCGTCAGGTGTCGAGTCCTAAGAAGGGCTAGATAATGTTTGGCTTTTAGCCATGTACGCGTAACAACCCGATTTTCTCCGTAGAATTACTGGGATTCGAACTGGGGTCTTCTGGGTCCATAGCCGCTGTGCTAGCCAAAAAGAGTTATTGTGCCACGCTCTAGACAAATGCTAGAGTGCTGGACTCGTCATCAGAACATCGGGTTCGAACTCCAGCAATTCCCAGGGAAAAAGTATGGATGTGACGCGCACATGGCCCAAAACCGAACACCATCCAGCCCTGTTCAGGACTCAATAATACCTGACGACGGCAGGAGAATTCGCCACCCACAACGCTTGTGTGCATCTAACGCACCAGATAAGAATGATAGCCTGAGCCATTACGTCACCCATGCGCACATTTCCAAGGCTTGTGTCCATATTTCCAAGGGATTTTCACGCAAGCGGTTTCACTAGGCGACGTTGTTCTTCTGCAACTGCAAAGCTGAGTGATCACCACCATCTCACCTCTGTATTCGATCGACATGGCGAAACACAAAATTTAGCGGGAAGAAAAACAGTATCAAGACAACGAGTCGGAAACAGAACCAGATCCTGGCGATAAGTCATCGCAACGACGCGAGGCTAGCGCTAACAAAGGAGAAAACTGGCAACCGTTCTGGCAAGAGGTTGGGTCGATGTGTGCAAGATCATCACTCACTGTCGCGCGCAAACCATGGGTGCATCGGTATGGAAGTGCTCCTAACGGTTTATGTCAAATTTCAGCAACAGTGCAGAAGGAAGGCTCTGACTAAATGGCCGCATTTGGCAGATGATGTACATATCCTAAGCGCAGCCTGTCATTCTCGCCATCTTTCATTTTGCTTCGTGGCTGACGGGTCAGACCGACCTATTCAGAGGCAGATGTTGAGCTGTGGTCCACGTCGCCACCACAAGCGCGCTCGATACACGCCAATGATCATACCACACAATCCCAAATTATGGCAAACGGAGAAACCATTTTTTACCTGCCAGCAGTTAAAAGCATAGCATGATCCCCCTCTTAACGTAGATTGCTTCGGCCCATTCAGAATATATGGGCCATCGTCGAAGCAAATGCCTATGAATGAGGCATCATCTGACGCGGTGTTAAAGGGCAGGATCTCCAGAGAACCCGGCAGTGCAGCCTGAGCTTCCTCACAAAACGACGGAAATCAACCAGCGCATGTGCCATGCTGCCAGTCATGGGTTGACGGGTGCATGTGCCCTGCTGCCAGTCATGGGGTGACGAGTGCATGTGCCCTGCTGCCAGTCATGGGGTGACGAGTGCATGTGTCCTGCCGCTAGGCATGGGGGGGATGAGCTGCGAGTGTACTAAGAAGCCACGTCTGCCGACTGAACTACTTGCTATAATCTTTGTCAAACGTGTAAGCGTTTGAGAGTAGCGTTTCAACGTCACACATGAAAGGCATTCGCCCAATCAGAAGGCCCGTAAATTAAAGTTAAACGGAATTTTTCAAGGCGAGGCGTAAGTTCATCTTCGTTCGCTACGTTGTTTGTCGCACCAGCCCCATTCGCTCTCCATCAAATAGGTGCCACCTCCGTTCCGCTTTGGCATTCTCGCCCTACACCCACAGCCGCTGAAGTGCGCTGCTTGCCACAAGAACATCAAGCGGCGGAAGATCCTGTGCTCCGCCTGCAAGCAGGTCATATACTGCAGCAAGCAGTGCCGTGCCAGCGACTGGGACAAGAATCACAAGAATACCTGCCCGGCGCGCAGTCAGAGTTAGTGCACCCAGAACGTTATATCGCGTTCATCCGAGTGACGACGGCATCAGCATTCTGCTCACTCTCCTCAGAGCCGTTTGTTTAGCCTTAAAATCGTCATGGTGTCTTCTCAGCTTTGGAATATATTACCTCTCAGGGCAGGTGAACGCTGCTCAGTTTTATTGTGTTGGCCCTACGCTGCAAAACACGCCGGGCATGCAGTTGCTTTTTAACATGACGCTGCAACCACAACATAGTGTACAACCTGACTGGGAGCGCTGCTCTGACCCGCACCGCCTTCGCCAGTGTCGCTGGCGCGCATACAGAGTTCGGTCACCAGCCAGGTGTCCGGCGCGACCCGACTGACATCTGGCGCCAGCTCGCGAAAGAAACGCCAGGAGTCCGGCCGCCGGGCGGACGGCAAGCGAAAGAAGGGCAAAGGTGGGAAAGGCGACGGCGAAGACCGGGACGGCCGCCGCGGCCGGCGAGGCCACTCGCTGGACTCTGGCGAGGCAGGGGACGGAGAAGGCGGGCGGCGCAGGCGCGGGCACGGACCACCGCGCGGCGCCCGCTCCCTGGACGCCCGCCACCCTGGGCACTCGGGCCTGACGCCGATGAAAATGCCCCCCGGGCTGGCGGCCTTCCTCAGCCAGTTCCAAGGCTTCCACATCGGCGCCTGTCGCCACCTGATCCTGGGAGAGTGGTACGAGGACGACTGCAAGATGAAGCAGAACTACAGCTTTATTTAAGCTCCAGACTGATGCTCTTGTAGCATCGCTAACGCGTGCTGTCCAGTGCCCTGTTCTGTGCCGTTCCTTGAAACGACGAAGTCTTTGCTTTGCTTCGTTGAATAAAGTTTAAATCCGTTGCTGTCGCTCGCCAACATATCACTACGCTGGTTGATGAGACGCGCGCTAGTTTGGCGGTGTCGCGCCGCGGGCACCCCTTACTGATGAAGTCATTGAGACGTCACGGGCGTAAATGAACGTTAGGAGCTTGTCAAAGTCTTTAGTCATGTTTTACTGAGATAATGTTAGCAACCAGAAACGAACGTTACCTTGTCTGGTGATGAGATATTCTCATTGCTTACTTCATCTCTAGGGGGGTTGGGCATGCCTACCATCTGCGCCCCCATCGTGCATAATAGCAGTCTGTCTCCGCACTTTCCTAGTTCAACAGCAAGTTTCAGTTTCCTGGTTAAGGCACTGCCAACATGAAGAAGTCGCAGTCATGAAAACGAAAGCGAATCACCATTGATTCTGCGCCCTGTCCGGTATTTTGAACAGCGGTTTGGTTAACTGAGATCCAGCAGTTGTGCGTGCATCAGCGATGGCGGTTCAATAGGAAAACGGGCTTTGCTGTGTCAAATGTAGGCCGACCGTCAAAAGAAGATAGCGAACCTTGAGTTCAACTCTAGCGGAGCAGAGTCAACTCCGACTCTGGCTCGCGGCAAGCAGATTTGATCCCAACTCTGCAGGAAAGATTTGAAGGAAATTTTGTCCGCCCTCAAAACCGACTCCGGGCCGTCGGTTCCATATCCTATTTTTTTGTTGCTAGGCAGCTTTTGACACTGTTGGATAATCATCAATCGCGATGTGGTCTAAACTCGGAACTAATATTTCGTGAATAACAGCATCATACTCGTCCAGCTTCCGCGGATCTTTTGCATGGATCCGAAGGGCACGACGAAAACAAGGTCACATATTGTCTGACATACGAGGTGCCACGGTTCAAAGCATAGTGATCTAATGACAGCACGCACGTTTTACGAATACAGGAAGGCAGGGCCTGGCGAGGTTGATGGGCCGCGGCCTCTCGGAGGCCGGCGAGCTGATTCCCTTCATGACCCCTCATTAAAGAACAGTCACAACGAGGCTTCACAAAAGGACCCCGATGCTCCGCGAAATTCCCAGACCCTCACCGCTCAGTCCCCATGAGTGGCTCGGCAAGATAGCAGACAGCTTCGCTGCAATGCCAGTGTCGGCTCGCTCCGGCCACGTCTCCACGACCAACCACGGTCCCCCCGGGTATCACACCCGTTACCCACGCACTCCATCGCTTCTGACCTGTGCACAGGGCTCCCACCACACTTCGGACCACAGTTCGCTCAGCGCGCGATACACCTCACCCTCACCACTCGCCCGCTCCCAGCGCCCTCAGTTTCCAGTCACGATGTGGCGCACCACCTTCTCGAACGCCGGTGAAGTGATGGGCCGCGCCGGCAGGTAGAACGGGTTGCACACCATGTCGGTGTAGGCGACGTGCAGCTTGCGGAACATAGTGCGGATCTCGTTGTCCCGGATCGACACGTTGGCCGCCTTCGACCACGATGACGAACTTGATCTTGGTGTTGGTGGCGTAGCCGAAGACGCGGTACTCCTCGGTGGAGTACAGCAGGCCTAGATAGAGCTCGCGGCCGTCGGCGGCCGATTTGCCCGTGGCGCCCAGCTTCTCTTCCACCACATCCAGTGCTGTGTGGACCGTGTAGTGAAACTGCAGTTCAGATGCGGGATCAGGCTGTATGGATATACAGGGGCGAGTTCTCCTTGCCTATCACGGCCAGGCACACCGCCATAGTAAGCTGCCACCGGCTGAGTCACCAATGGTGCACAGAGCTCAGAGTGAGGTCACCTGGTGGAACATATACATGGTCATAACCACACAGTGGTAGACAATTAAACAAGAGGTATGCTAATGAAGGCTAATATATCAAATAACAACTTGAAGGAAAGGCTCGTATTTTACTCACAAATGACCTAGACATCCTTCAGCTACATTCATGGAATGCCACTATTAAAAAGCTCTCTGTAATGCAAAAACTATTTATACAAATCATACTTTACAATTAGGGAAAAGGAGCTTATGCAAGATCCTGAGACACCTTGCCATAAAGCAGGATCCAAATTATTTTGCCCAATGCTGATGATCATGACATCTCTGATCACATCATCACACATCATTGATGAAATTAGAATGTTCAAGGCTTTTGTAATTGTGATTAAAACATTCCCCAAGGCACATCATTTCATGATGATATTGGTCCCCTTGAATTTAACTTTCCTTGTGAATCTTAAAAAATGTCAGATTGCATGATTTAGGTGCAAAAAAACTCAAAAGCAATTTAATGTGAGCCATGACACCTGCAATAACACCTATAAAAGACACAGTACCACACTCTCTATGCCCATCTGGAAAATTTGTGTGTGAATGTGGCATGGTCAGAGCTCTGGATAAACCAGTTACAAACAGAAAGCAAAATGTTTAACAGGGGTGTTTCACATTTGAGGACATCGAAGCATGCAACAGATATGATGACAAAGCTGACATTACCTATTTCTTTACTTTCAGTGGAACAGACTGCCACAGACAGGCACAATTTGTCCACCTGGTAAGTATGCTCCTTGCTATACCATTGTTTGATTGTCATCACAACTAGCAAAGCAATGGTTGAAAGCCAATTGAAAATTTTGTACCTTCAAATCTTGCTCACAAACATCAGATAAAAGCAAGACAACAATTTTGTTCTTTGCTTTGATTGCCACATGACTTATGGAATGACAGGATCTGAATTATGGAGTCATGGATACCTACATGACCTTAACATATTCTCCCTCAAGTCTGCACAGCTGTGTGGGCATGTAGTTCAGAAACAAGAGACAACAAGGTCTCAAGAAGGGCAGGACCATGAACTGCACTAAATAACCTTCAAGATGGCTATTTCAGTCCATAACCCTATGCAGATGTGGAGCACTCCCTTTAAGCTTTTGCTTATGGACAGCCTGAGTCAACACACAAATATTACTTTAAATTCACACATTCTGCAACTGCATAGCCAACGCAGACTTTTTCTGATTCCAGAGGAACAGAGCCTCCTACTATTCAAGTTTAATAGTACTAAGGTGGCATACCGTTTTCGACCCGCTGCTTGCTTCGTAACAGTGAGCGCAGGCCCCTCTCCCCAATGGAAACAATACCACAACTGAGCTATTCAGTACCCCGTAGAGTTTATTCTAACCACTTATACATACCTCGCAGATCCCACCGTTTCCCGTCACAATCCCAAACAATCGCTGTATTTGTGATTACGATGGCTTCATCTGCCTCATGCGCTTCATTTCTGTCCCAAGCCCTCAACGCTACCATATAACTGTGCTCTACCATGTTTTTGGTTATTTACTGCACGGTCATTTGACGCACGCGCTTTTACCAGACGCAGAATGGACCGGACCGAAAGCAGAATGTTTCATGGGTGGATGTCATAGTAAATACTGTCTGGTGTTCTAAAATTTGTGGGTACGATATCGTAGAAGAGCTTGATGTACTCTGTTCGCTCGCTTCCAAGACGATTTTGCGTAACAAATTTCCGAACTCAATTTGGCAGTCAATCAAACTCATCATAAATTCTAAATCATGGGGACGGTGCTAAGCCGAGCCGAAATTACTTGCATCACCCCCTATCCAGCGTGAAGTACAACTTCTTTACGGTGTGGGCATGTAGTTCGGACGGACGGACGTAACCCAGCTTACCTCCGAGGAAAGTTTAAGAGATGACGGCGAAGTTGGGGGGGGGGGGGGGGGGGCGCAGGGGACTTAAGAGTTGACGGTGGCATCCCTAAAACGTCAGGTTCTAACCAGACCTTCTTGTCTAGACCTTCACACCCTTGGCTCGACCGCACGATACCGCACTGAAGACATTTCCGGAAATCCGTTCGCGGCTGTATTTTCAACGTTATACGAGCATTCGCTCCGTGCTAAGCAAATTTATCCCCTCACATCGTCTCGAGTTACGCTCTAACCCCACCACTTTCCAGACGATATCCACGAACAGTGGCCACATCAGACACGGGCTGCAAGGCAACGATCAATGTTGCCGCACGAAGCAACTGCCACAGTTCATGACCAGACCACCGCCTGGTCAGCGGGTCGGGCGACAAATGCAGCACCCACGACATTCAGAGCGCTTCCGTCACAGTAGCTCCTGCATCCAAATGTGCATTTCCCACATTCAGCCTGCCTCTGCAAATGCCTCTGGTTTTCCCAAATGCCTCTGGTTTTCAGTTGCATTTCCAGGTAATTCATGACACTTGCCACGGTAAGTTGTACTTGCAAAATGTTGTAATGTAGGTACATGGAGAAAAGCAATTGAGAACGCCGAGGACGATTCCGATGCACCTACTCGCAGCAGCTGACACACCCGGGGAGGCAGATGCCATTACTTAATTATGATGCATCGACACAGAAGGCAGACACTTCACCCAATGCACGTGACGTACGCAGCTTTGAAGATAACTCTGGAATATGTTCCCGAATCGGCACATGAAGAAGCCTGGAAAACCAGTCATTGGAACGCAAGAACACGTGAAATGCCTAAACCGAAAAGCCTATTCTACATTACAAGTTTGCCGATATACACACGGAACGAGCAAGCCAAGCCATGCACACATCCAATCGTCCGAACTTCCTCTTCTTTGTCTTGTTCCTTAGACTCTCTGCGTGCTGGCTTTCCGACTCGATTTCCTGGGCACGGGTTGGGGTGAGTCGGTCGCCCTGCGAGCCTGGCGAGTCACGCGTGTCCCTCCGGAGACGACACTGTCTGGCGTCTGGCCCGCCTGGCTCCGAGATCCCCGCGTGGTCCGAGACGTCCCGGAGACCGCGCTCTCGGAGGACTGGTCCAGCTGACTTCTGGAGGTCCGCTTGGGTCTGGCCGGTCCGGAGAAAACGCTGTCAGGAGACAGTTCCCCCTGGATTTTGAGAGTTCTCTTGGGTCTGGCCGTTCTGGAGACGGCACTGTCTGGACTCTGATTTACTCCGCTTCGGGAAGCCTGCTTCGATCCACTAGTTGTGGAGGCAATGCTGTTTGGGCTCTGTTCCACCAGAATCCTGGGAGTCCTCTTGGTTCTGGCGGTTTTAGGAGCAGCACTATCTGAAGTCAATTTTGCACGGCTTCTGGAAGACTGCTTGGTTCTAGTGGTTTCTGGGACAGCACTGTCTTGATCCCGCTCCATCCGACTTCTGGAAGTCCGACCAGCTCTGGACGATGCGGAGACAACACTGTCTGGACTCTCCTCCACAACGTTTCTGGAAACCCGCTTCGCCCCTCTGGCTCCCGAAGGCACGCTGTCCGAAGTCAGTTCCAGCTGGCTTCTAGAGGCCGCATTGTTTTCAAGCGGCTCCGGAGACAGCGTTGTCCGGACTCTCCTCCACTCGGAGCCTGGATCCCCTGGTGTTTCTGATCGTGTGGCGCGCCGCCGCCTCCTCGAGGCTCCGGCCACCTCCTCCTCGGCCGGACGGCGCGCCGCCAGCCGCCACCACCGCGTCGTCCCGGGGCGACTCCGGCTCCGGACCCTCGCTGCCGTCCTCGATGGTTGGCTCCGAGCTGTCGTCGTCGGCCAGCGGGGGCACGCCGCGGCCGCCGGACGGCGGGGGCGCGGCGCACGTTCGCCGCCGGCCGGCGCGGCGGCGCAGCGCGCGCGTTCGGCCGGCTCCGCTTGGCCGGCACCGAGGCCGGCGAGGCGAGCGGCGACGCCGCCGCCTTGCCGCGCTTCGGTGCCGGCGTGCGCCGCGAGAGACGGCCGCCGGGCTGGTGCGGCGGCGGCGGCGGCGGAGGCGACGTCTCGGCGGCGCGCCTCGGCGCCGGCTCGGAGGCGAGCCGCGAGCGGCGCGCGTCCGGCCGCACTGCCGATCGGTCGGCGGCCTCCCGCAGACACTCAGCGAACTCGTCCGAGCCGGCCGACGCCGTCAGCAGCAGCTCCTGGCCGGCGCTGACGTCGGCCGACTCGGGCGTCTCCGGCACTGCGCCGCCGGCGGCCGACCGCTCCGGCGAGCCTTGGCTGCAGTCCAGGCCGCCGACCAGCGTCGCGTCGCCGCCGGCGGACGGCCGCGCGCGCGCCGGCGCCGGCGTGGCGGCCGGTTCGTCCGGCCGCGCCGCCAGAAGCGCGCCGACGCCGCCAGCGAAGCGGCGCAGGTGGCGCGCCAGCTGCCGGTCGCCGGGCTCGGCGCCATCGGCGGCCAGCAACCGGTCGGCCAGTGCGGCCAAGTCGCGCAGCACGGCCGCCGGCGCCGCCGCCAGCTGCAGCTGTGGCAGCGCGCGCGCCAGCACGCGGCCGGCGCTGTCCGAGCCGACGCCGTCCAGCAGGGCGTTCAGCAGCCGGTACGCGAGCGCCTCGTGCACGGACCCGGGCAGCTCCGCCTGCCGCTCGGCCAGCATGGCCGACTGCGTCAGCTGCACGAAGAAGCGCGCCACGTCGTCCAGGTCCACCTCCACCAGCGGTGAAGTCATCGGCGCCTGGGGGTGCGGCCGGCAAGCCGGTGAGGGGCGCCGCGGGCACGTGTGGCTACTCGGGGTCAGGTCGGACACTGCCGGTGCAGATTTGCCGACAGACGGGAGAGTCACAAACCGCATCATACGGAACAAGACAGCTGCTCCTAACATCAATGGTGAGCCCTTTGATAACTTCCTAGTTACGGGAGATAGTAGAAATGATAAGAGAGCCACACATCGGTGCGATAAATACGTGTGATTGCCTCGCCCTGCAACAGTCTTCTTGAACCTTTCCGGGATTCTTTATTTATTCGCCGTCTTGGCGCACAAGTAACTCAAAAATCTTAAGTAATGTAGGCTCATCGGCAACGCGGGCGCATCTATGGATACAAATCACAAAACGCCAATAAAAGCCTCACATATTTGCTCATCAACGACTCGTGAGCAGTGACTTCGCAAACAGCCGTAGCGCTTTTCCCACCCTGTCCCCGATACGACAGGCGCGGTCCGTGCGGCAGCGGCGCCTATCAGCAGACGCACCTGCATGAGCGTGTGTATGGTGGGGAGCATGGCGTCAGCCAGCATCTCCTGGTTGGCGCGGCTGGCGGCGCCGAACGCCGGGAAGAACACGCCCAGCATGTTGCGCAGGAAACTGTCGCCGTCCATGACGGGGTTGTACCACATGAGCACGAGCCGCTCCAACAGTCGGGGCGAGCTGATGCGACCGTGCATCAGCAGTTTGCAGAGGCCCTCCGCCACCAGGCCGCGCACCTGGCCGAGGCGGCATTCAGGTCAGGTCATGCCGGGCCAGAACTTGTCAGGTCAGATCAGGTCAGGTCTTGTCAGGTCAGGTCTTGTCAGGTCAGGTTGACGGCGGCCGATACCGGGGCCGGGTCCGAAGACCTATCCAACGATTTTCAATTTCGTTGGTTCATGTTCTTTTTGCGGTAGATTTGCCGAAGACTGAGTGAAATAAACTGATGATCATAGTATTGACTTATCAGTGGACGTTTCATTTAATCTGGCCTACTGAACATCCCCAAACAGCAGGATAGAAAGCCCCTGGATCAGTTTGTGAACAGGGATCTAAACAGCCGCAGGCGACGCCGAACCCGAGGCGGTCAACAACATGGCATGGGGAGGGAGCTTCCACAGGAAATCAGTCCAGCCACCAGACCAGGTCAGGCCGACGTACCTCTGGCTCCCCGACATCCAGCATGGCGGTGAGCTCGGTGACTAGCGGCGCCATTTGGTCGGGCTGCTCGGCCGGCGCGGCCACCTCCAGCCCGTGCACCAGCAGCTGGTCAAAGACAGCCCGCAGCGCCGTCAGCTGCACCTCGCACTGGTCCGCCTGCGCCACCTGTCCGGTCGCAGGGGTCGCAGGTCAGCATGACGGGATTTAAGACAGCTGGAGGAGGGGTGGAGAGCCAACAACAGCGCGCGCTGCAACACGGGGCGACTTGAACAAGTTGCCAGTCAGTGACGGAGCACCGGCAGAAGTCAAGGAGCTCAGCGGCATACCAGAGGACAAGCAGGCTGCCTGGCCAGCCCAACAAGGCGTCGCGAAACCGACCTGGACGAAGAGCACCAGGTGATGCTCGGCGAGGCCGCGGTTCAGCAGCGAAAGGGCGCCGAGCGCGCGCACGGCCGCCTCGCGCACGCCCGGGTCCTCGTTCTGCACGGCCGGTAGCACGAGCGTCTCGGCCAGCGCGCGCAGCTCGGCCGTCAGCGTCTTCAGCTCGGGCGACTGCAGCAGCTCGTACAGCACCGTCAGGCACTTGGTCAGCGTGGCCGGGTCGTCGCGTTCGGCGCACTCGCCGACGTCGTCGGCCGGCGCCGGCTCGGGCCGCTCCTGGAGTTCGCGCTCCTCCTCCTGACACAGCGTCTGCTGGCGCTGCAGCTCCTGCGCCGTCGCGAACTCGCCGCCCGCCACGGCCGCCTCCAGCCGGTCGCGCAGCTCGTTCAGCTGCACGCGCAGCTGGGCGCGGCGCAGCCGGCGCGCGCGCAGCTCCTGCTCAGGTGGCGGCGGCGGCGCGCTCTGCAGCGGCGCGCGGATCTCGGAGATTGTCTCGACGAGCGCGCGCAGCCGTGCGGGCGCCGCCGGCACGGCGCGCGCGTACAGCCGCACCAGCGGCGCCACCAGCTGGCCGTCCAGCCGGTCGGCGCGCAGCAGGCTGTCGACGAGCGCGGCGAGTGCGCGCCGGCCGAACTCGTCCCACAGCTCGAGCCCAGCCGCCAGCGCGATCAGCTGGCGCAGCACGAAGCGGTCCGTCTCGTGCTCGCCGTCGGCCGGCGGCCGGCCGCTAAGCTGCTGGATGAGGCCGCACAGCGCCGGCAGGTCGGGCGTGATGCGCTCCAGCTGAGAGTCGGCGCCGCCACCCTCGCTCCGCAGGTGGTCGCAGAGCGCGCGCCACAGCAGCGCGTGCTCGGCCGTCAGCTGGTCGGCGGCGAACAGGCGCGTGTCGGCCGGCAGGGCCAGACTCTCCACCTGACGGGCACAGACAGGCGACGCTGACAGGCACGCCCCATTCGACCGGCCGGGCTGCCTCGCCGCGGTTCGCACATCCACCGGCCCGACCAGGCAGGCCCTAGCCCGGAGACAGCGGCGCTGCGCGTGGAAGAGCACCGGGAGGGCCGCCGCGATTCGCCTTTCATAAAAAAGAAATAACGGAATATTCGTACCTTCGCAAGAACTGGGCGATTTAATCCAAGTTCAAACCATTTACTCCCTCTAAATACGTGGATCAACTGCACACTATCATTGAACTTTGTCCGGTGCGAATACTGCATTTTCATAAAGCAAGATCGAAAACATCACTGCAAACTGTCAGCAGCACAACACAGATCCAGAGACTGCCAAAAGGTCACGAAACATAGGCGACAACCCAAATTTTGGACCACAACGACTAAATCAATCCACTGATCAAGTACCACATCAATCAAGTCACGTACCAAATCATCACCACGTCATCGATCGGTCAATCACCAAATCGATTAAACAAACGGTCGGGTCCGGCCAACCGACTGTCCCCCACTGTCCCCTTTGCCAAGCCAGCGGCCCAGGACCGGCGGCAGTATGGCCGGCTCACGCACCATGTCAGCGTACGAGGTCTCGCGGCACATGGCCTTGACCACGAGCTCAGCCACGTCCGGGCACATCTCCACGTAGAGGCAGCGCAGCAGCTGCGTGACGCTGCCGGCCAGCAGGCGCAGCCAGAACTGCAGCAGGTCCTTCTGCACGGTGCGACGGATGGCCTCGTCGCGGTCCTGTAGGCCCTCTTTCAGCAGCCGGCGGCGCTCAGACATCGAGATAGACTTGATGTGCACCTGAGGCAGGAGCGTGCGTGCACACGTGGGACACGCGGCGAGCGCACGTGCGGCGACACCGAGACGGCACGCACGTGTGGCTGTGACGTGCACGGTGGAAGAGCAGAGGTCGGTTCTGTGTCGATACCGAGCATGGAGTCCATGCTCTATGTCATGGATATGTCATGGACACACGTACACGTGGCACCGACTATGGACGAGTTGGTTCCGTACAAAATGCGGGGCGTTTTATCACGATGCATTGCAAACAGAGGGTAAGTAATGAATTCGAACTCTTCACAAAAGATATCCTTGGTTTCACCTTACCAATGAGCAAAATCTCCTTACATTAATAAAGCACAAAAAGAGTGATCAGGAGGAAAGCTGACGACGCCACTGAAAAAGAGCCTCCAGCATATAGACACCAAGCCAGGAGCTAACCGCATCACCACGCACGCAGACACACCAGCTGATCCTCACACCTCCCAAGTCGACAGCCGACGCGGCACAGCCCTCCACAGGAGTGCGCCGGCGCCGCGCCTCACCTTGGTCAGGAAGAGGTAGGCCTGGCGACGGACGGGCGCGCTCGAGTCGCGGATGCGCTCCAGCACGTGCGGCAGCGTGGCGGCCGAGCCGCCGATGTTGAGCAGCACTGCGCGCCGTACGTCGGCGCTCGGGTCGTTACGCAGGTGAAACACGTACGCCCGGATCACCGGGCACTGCTTGTTGTGCGGCTCCTGCAGGCGCGACAGCGCGAACACAGCCTGCACGCGCACGGCCGGCACCGTGTCCTGCAGCCGCTCCAGCATGGCCTCGTACACGCGGTCGCAGAGCGCGTCGTCCAGGTAGGCGTTCTCGCCCAGGTGCAGCAGCAGCTTGTTCAGCAGCTGGCAGCTGCGCAGGCGGACGGCCGAGTCGGTCGCGCGGTGGCTATCCACCAGGAACTGGAACAGGCGGCCGAAGAACGGGTGCACCTCCTCTGCCTCGTCGACCGCCTTGTCGGCCTCTACCGCCGCCGGGCACAGGTGGCGCGCGAACCGGGCTGCGAACTCGAGCGTGCGCTCCACCGGCGCGCTCTTTTCGCCGCGCACCAGCGCGTGCCGCAGCAGGCGCACAAACTCCACGAAGAAGGCCTCGTCGTCATCGCGCGCCGCGTGGATCGCCTTCAACGCGGTCAGCAGCTTCTGGTGCACCGAGATGCTGGCCTGGCATGCGACGAACACGTCCTGCATTGTGTTCAGCATGGTGGCAGCTGTAAGCAACAGGACATACTAGTGATCTCTAAAGATGCAGTAATGATGATTGAGGCCTTATTTCTCACCCACTGCCAAGGCCATTTTGAGATGGATGCCTATCCCATATCATGTGGGATGCGATGACAGTGTGTGAAAGGCTCAAACCCAAGACCAATGGGTCTGGAGCAAATCACCCTAACCACTATACCCCACTGCTCTCTCCAAAGATGTGGCTATGTAGCATGATCAGTGGTGTTGAAGTGGTCTGAGGTGTTAATGTGCTGTGCAGTTTCTGATGATAATTGCCAAGCATGTGCATAACCAATGAATACAAATCCTAGATTTCAGAAGTTCTTGACATTTGTGATTACATTTAGAGTTAACAAATGTATGAGTGGGAGGTCATTTTGCACTGTTCTTAAGAGCTACAGACTCAATGTTCTATCAACTTTAAATCAACAATTTGCACTTTATTTATGCCACATCATATACCTAATTGCTGCCAGGAGTTCAACAATGCACCCCTACTTTTGCTAACAGTCCCTTGACAGAACACAGGTCATGAGCATTAATCAATAGGTCTTATCCCAAGACAGGAACTTCAAAGCAATCTCTAACAGAAAATGCATTCTTCATTGTCTCAAAAGTGTACCAAACCTGACCACCACCCACCCTAATCAACCTCTGTGACCAAGCCTGCTGCTGCCCATCATGCTGTTGGTGTTCAAAATCTTATAATTTTACTTCTCATTTTCCACACCATCCCCCTGCAACCCATCATCACCATCACTGACTTAAGGTGTAATGCCAAATTTCATGTCACATTCCCATCATATAAAACCTCTGTATTGATCCAATCAAGCATCAGTATGCAAAAGCTGCACCTTAAAAAGAAAAGGCCAGCCTTCATCCAATATGATGCCTTGGGGCATCAACTTTGTACTGCCAGTGTTAGAATCTGATAAGCACCACTGACATCATGATTTATATATATTGACACAGTAAGATGACGTGATGTTATTGTTTTCTGATTATCAACCGAGTTGTTTGCTCTGAAGAGGTCAATGTATGCACAAAATATTAACACCATGAGGCAAAAACTTAACAAAAGCCAGTCATTTACATAAAGCTAGGCATTATAAAGTGAGGCCAATACCTTAATGTAGAGATATTGCAATCTTGCCGAACTTATGTATATCACGCTGGTCGAGACCACGTACGACACGCGAGCACCGATCTTGACTTCTCGTGCTACTGCAATCACATTGCCCTTACCGGTGTTAAATTCGGCAGGTTGCTAACAAATTAACAACCGAAACATCACAGAACAATCAATTATCCCACGGCACGCAACGAAGGCCAACCCGCAACCGAGGCCAACCGCAACCGAGGCCACCCGCAACCGCCGACAGCCGCCCGAGCAGCAACCGCCGCTGAAAGTCGCGCGCGCGCCGCTCTGTTGAATACAAACACCGCGCAACATTTGAAACTGTCGCCGAATGACAGATGCTACCATATTAGTGCGTCCATATCCTTCACGTGGTTCACAGTATTTGTATTAAAAATGACACCCTTCCCATCCCATCGCGCATTGAGATAAATGTTGAAAATGGGGAGATGACAGTAGCTCAGAGATACACCGCACACGAAGCCAAAGCCAAAGAGATGCATGCACGGTAAAAAAGATTGTCAGCTCCACTTTTCGCAAAAGTGTCACAAACCTTTGAACGATGCTTGAAGGCGCTCCGCCGGCCTCACGCCAGGTAGGTGGTGTTATAAAAAACGTGCACTTTCGTCGCGCTGAGGTTATTTAAAAAAAAAAAAACGTACCGGGACGCAACCGCCACCGGACATGCGAGCTCCGCTGCTAGATGCTCTGCAGTCTGCTTTTCGAAAAGCCGCGCCGGCGACTTGCTGACGGCGACCTCCTCCTTCGCTGAGAGTAGCGGCGGGAGAGGAGACTTTGTTAAGCTGGCTCTGGCTCCCTCCCCCACTCTCATCTGGAATGTCGTTGGTGGTATTTTGTGTTGATGGGGCGCTTCGACTGCGCGGACATTTCGCGCTATCTCGAAAACTGGCAATTTCATGCCCTTTGGTCAATACAGTGTCATTTAACCGTTACTATGCACTATGTCCAACACCATCACAAACTCTATTGCGTTTGAGCAAAATAAAGTGGGCTTAATCCGGTGCGTAAAAATGGGAGGAGTTTGTCTGGCCCAGGGTTCGATCCCCCCAAAAAGTACAAAAATTCACACCCCTGCTATGTGCCCTGATCCCTGTGTCATTACCTATGCGGCTGGACGGCTGCAATCGTAAGTCTTGCGGGCCAAGACAAGTGGAACAATAACGTCACAACACGAGTCCCGCCTGATGCAGAGGCTGGTAAGTGGGCGCTGCAATGAAGTAACGCAGACGATCCGTGGCATGGTGAGGACATGAGGTCAGGCAACACTCAAGCGGTCGCCGCACCCCTCACGCCGTGGCATGCTCTCGCCCGATAGGTAAAAAGTACGCTGCGCAGGTGGCTGCGCGTCCAAGCCGTAGCCGGCAGAGGGCAACTTTCTCAAATCTTTTAGTCACATGAGAATGATTCCCCCACGACTCCCATTCTTTCATCTGTGGTTTCGAGGACGCGCAGCAATCGGTGCCTTTTTAGCACGCACGGCGTGACCGGCCCGTGCTACGACGAATGGAGAGCACGATGCGCCAACGATGGCGACGGACTGCTCAGTACGCGGCGTTAGCAGCCCAGTCTATATATATATATATATATATATATATATATATATATATATATATATATATATATATATATATATATAATCGTGAGCCCCGTCTCACCGCAGCATGACCATACCCGTCAACACTGACTGCTGCTGTGGTATCAGACCTGACCACCTAACAGTCTACAGCGCAGGACGGGCGCCCTCCTGATCGGTCGTGGCACGGCCCTCCCGCCATGCCTGGCTCACACTCCACGACATTCCCACATTATGACCTGTTGTCGGAACAGAGCCGCCTTTTGCACAGCAGCTCAACAAAAACTCTGAACACCTTGCGGTCTGTCGCGGCATTGACCGGCGGTTAAGTGGCGTTTCCGTCTGCACGTGATACTGGCGCTCTGGTCACGTACGCCGTCGGGGCATACTCCAACACCAAACAACATGAAACGAAAGCGCCAATTATTATTTTCACTTTTCGCAATTGATCCTATGGCCATGTCCCAATGAGCAAAAACGAATATCACTTGCGGACAGCAGGAGGGAAATAATGCCACCGTAGGAACATTGAAGCAGACAGGTGTTGCAGCATACGCCCTACACCAACGCGCCATAGGCTCGTGCTAGTCACGAGAAGCAGTGCATTCAACAACTGAAACACAAGGTACGCCAGCGTATCCAACCTTGGCCAATCAGTTTTAACCCATTCACATCCATTTTCTCGTAATATCAGTCCATCCCGAAGCTTGGAGACATTTCATTACTCACAGCTCACCACTACACTTAAGGGGAAATCCTGAACACAACAGTCAAATCTGATGACTCGCTCAATGCTAGCGGTTCTGACTGAAGACAACAGTATCAAACGAATATGACTGACTGCATACTAAACAATTGTTTGAGCAGGAGATCGGTCGGAGGTCAACAGGTAGGTCGGAATTAGCTCGCTGCACCCGACTGAGCCAGCGAGCTCAGCAGCGCTCACTAGCTCGTGCCGTTCCTGAGCGCGCCCGCCAGACAGTTACCACACACTCCACTATGCCCCTCCACGGACGAGCCATGCGCCAGTCGCGTCTCACAGCCCAGCCCGCCCGCCACAAAAAGCAGCGCCACCTATGACGCCGTCCGAGGGGCGGCCACGCGTCCAGTGGCAGTGCCCGTCTAGCGCAGTGAGACTCTCGCCACCACTGTCTCGTCGCCGCTGTCAGACCGGTGCAGAGGAGGGGGCGGGGAGAGGGAGGGGGTGTGCGGGTGGCACACGAGCGCCGCCGGCCGTTCTTTACCAACACAGCGTCCAGAAAACTCTAATCAATCCACAGCCGCGCCTCTGCCCACGCTCAAGCCTCAACGCGAACGTTAGACGGCCGGTGCGTTGCCGCCGTCCTCCGACTTGTCCTCCGCCTTCTCCGCGCCGGCCGCCCCAACCGCCTCCTCCTCCTCAGCGCCCGACACGGCCGGTGCGGGCGGTGTGACGCCGTGCGACCCCTCACCACCGGCGGCGGTGGCAGCGGCGTCACGCGCCACCTCAGGCGTCTTGCCACTGGCTTCCGTAAGCGGCGCCATGCAGCCGGCCACGGCCTGGCCCAGCTCGGCCAGCTCCTCGTCCGAGGACGTGTCGCCCGTGCTCTCGCGCCGGTAGCGCGGCGACAGCCGGCGCCCCTTGCTCAGGTAGCTCGTCAGCTTGCCGCACGCGGCCAGCACGAGGCCCAGGTAGGGCGGCGACGGCCGCGTCGGCCGCGTCAGGTACTCCGGGTGGAACTGCACGCCTACGAAGTACGGGTGCTTGGGCAGCTCGACAATTTCCATGCGCGTCGCCTCCTTGTCCTCGGCCTGGCCGACAAAGTGGAGACCGTGTTGCTCCAGCAGCGGCACGTAGCGCGGATTGACCTCGTAGCGGTGGCGGTGGCGCTCGTCCACGCGCGTGGCGCCACCATACAGCTGCTGCAGCACCGACGGCTGCCCGCGGAACGTGGTGGCGCGCCGGCCCAGCCGCATCGTGCCGCCCATCTGACCCGGGTTGTGCTCGGGCATGTCGATGATCAGCGGCGTGGTTGCGTCCTTGACGAACTCGGTCGACTGCGCGTCCGGCAGGCCGGCCACGTGGCGCGCGTATTCGATCACGGCCGCCTGCATGCCCAGACAAACGCCCAGGAAAGGCTTGGCGTTGACGCGAGCCCACTGGATAGCCATCACCTTGCCCTCGACGCCGCGGTGGCCGAAGCCGCCGGGCACGAGCAGGCCGTCGGCGCGACAGAGGTGGCGCCACGCCTCGTGGTAGCGCACCGGGTCGCTCAGCTTGCATGCCTCCTCGAGGTGTTCAGACTGGACGAACTGCAGGTCGAGCTGGCGGCTGGCGAGCAGCGCCGCATGCTGCAGCGCCTTAATCACGCTGGCGTACGAGTCCTGCAGCGAGGTGTACTTGCCCACCAGCGCGATGGTGACGGTGCGGCGCACGTGCGTGGCGCGCTCAGCCAGGTCGCGCCAGCCGGCCATGCAGCGGCGCGGCCGCACGCCGGCCGGCAGGCGCAGGTGCAGGCACTCCTGCAGCACGTCCAGGCACCGCTCCTCCGTCAGCATCACCGGCACCCGGTACAGCGACTTGACGTCGTGCAAGCAGATCACCTGGTGCGGCGCAACGTGGCAAAAGTTGGAGAGCTTGAGCTTCACCTCGGCCCCAATCGGCTTCTCGCTGCGGCACACGATCAGATCGGCGTACAGACCGAGGCCGCGCAGCTCGCGCACCGACGCCTGCGTCGGCTTCGTCTTCTGCTCGCCGGTGGAGGACGGCTGCGGCACCAGCGACACGTGCGCGCAGCAGAAGTTGCCGCGACCCACGCGGAACTGGAACTGCCGGAACGCCTCCACGAACGGCATGCCCTCGATGTCGCCGATCGTGCCGCCCAGCTCGATGATGCAAATCTCGGGCTCGAGGCCTTCGGGGTCAACGGGCCGGCGCGCAACGCGCTCCACCCAGTTCATGATGGCGTCGGTGATGTGCGGAATCACCTGCACCGTCTTGCCCAGGTACTGGCCCTCGCGCTCGTGGTTGATCACCTGCTGGTAGATCTTGCCGGTGGTGATGTTGTTGTCCTTGTGCAGCGTCACGTCCAGGAAACGCTCGTAGTTGCCCAGGTCGAGGTCCACCTCGCCGCCGTCGTCCAGCACGAACACCTCGCCGTGCTCGTACGGCGAGAACGTGCCTGCGTCAATGTTGATGTAAGGGTCGATCTTGATGGAGGTGACGCGGAAGCCGACGCCCTTCAGGATGGCGCCGATCGAGCTGGCAATGACGCCCTTGCCAATGCCGCTGATGACGCCGCCCGTCACGAGGATGTACTTCATGATGACGGGCTTGGACGCAGAACGGAACTCTGCAGTTCTGCTGGGAGGGAAAAACTATCAGGACATGAGAGGAGCAGTACTGTGATGTATTTGTGACTAAACTTGGTACATGTCCATAAGAAAACATATTACAGCCACCAAGCATTCAGTACCATACTGTAGCATCTTCACCAATGACTTCATAAACAATTTAAGAACAAACAATGCATTCTAAATGGCTACCAGGCTACATTATTGAACTATACCTTGTCAAACATCATGAATTACATTTGTGTGTATATGAATGTACCTACACACACATAGGTCACCAACCACATTGTTTGTTTATGGCAGGCTGTGTTATTTGTCACAAGTTGCCTGATATTCCAGAGTTTGGCACCAACACGCACCAAGAGTTTTTACAACAAAATAGCAATGAGGCCAGCTACCAAATGAACTATTCATGATGGCCAGTTACAAAAAACTTGCTCTCCATGCTCCAAATTCAACACACCCAAATAGGCAGACACCTTTACCACATCTACACCTGAGAAAAACTACAGTAAAATGCTACCTGGCATCTATGCATGAAATAACACCTTGCTGTGAGGTATTGAGACATGTGAGTGTAAAATACAATTACCATGTCTAATGCTACCATGCTTGAGGGTCGTAACTGTCACATTCATATAAACACATAAGCTTCATTCATGCAAAAATGCCCACAGGCAAAATCAAAAAATTTTATTGCTGAATTTGGTATAAAAATATCAGTGTTCATTCTCTGCCCCATGACTTTCATGTGTTTGACACTTCCCTTGTACCTTGCTGTGTGATGCCTATTTTACAAGAGCTATGTTATATCGTGAGCTTTCCATTCAAATATCTGTCTGTCATCACGATTAAACCAACAAAGTTACTTCACATCCAGGGCACCAAATAAACAAAAACAAGCTACCATGGATAATTTATCAGGTAAGACAGTAGTGCTTCATACCACTGTTTTCCATACAAGGCTCATTAAGCAGCTTAGAGGCATACTTATAAGGCTCATTGCAGTACATTTTCTAAACATAATAACCTTATGGTCTTTCCCTCTCTGAATGCAAAACCCATGAAAATACTACCACATTCCACAGAGATAGAGCCCTCATCCTGGCCTGTCCCTTTGAACCTTGAATGTAACAAAACCCAGGGTGAGTGGTAATTTTTTACTTTGGTACCTGTGCGGCCGACGGAGGGAAGAGCTACGCTGGTTGCAGGGTTTCGAGTACTGTCGTACTGGGGAAATGCTGTGAGGCATCAGCTGACATTGCGATGTCACTGCAAATGGTTTTGCATCGATCGGGATCGGGGCTCCTTTGGGCCGACTGAAGGCCATAAGGCTTTTGCAAGTGATATGATGTCACTGGTATTCGGCTGGGTATGTGACGTTACTGGTGGTGAGTTTTTAAGGCTCTTTTGGGTCCACTGAATGCCGTAAGGCATCAGCTGACGATATGTCGTAAATGGTATTCGATTAAACATCAGGCGCGACCGGCCTCGTTCCATCTTTACTTTTCGTACCTGTCTGCTGCAAGCATTTGCGTGCCGTATAAAGGTTTCACCGAATCAACTCAATGTGTGACGTCACTAATCATCCCTTCATACGAGTGCACTTACGCCCCACGGCCACGGTGTGTTATGGTCCGCGACGTATCACCGGATAGGGTGACGTCACTGGTATTCGAATAAATACTGGGCGCAACAGGCCGTGCTTCATTTTCACCTTTGTACCTGTCTACTGTAAGCATTGGCGTGCTGGATGAAGGCTGCCGAACCACCTGAGTGTGTGACGTCGCTGGTCATGAGTTTTGCCGGGGCTTTTAGGCCCACTGAAGGCCACAAAGTGTCAGTTAACGACGTCACTGCTATACGACTGATTGTAAGACGTCAATAGTCGTGGGTTTTCACGGGCCCTTTAGGACCGACGAAATGCCGTACGGCATCAGCTGGCGATATGACGTCACTGGTATTCCGCTGAACATCAGGCAACAGGCCATGCTCCAGCTATACCTTTCGTACATGTCTACTGAAAGAATTGGCGGATTTTTTGCGGCCAACAGAAGACCATAAAGCATCAGCTAACGATGTGACGTCACTGGCATTCGACTGTGCGTGATGTCACTGGTCATGAGATTTTACGGCCTCTTTTGGGCCGATGAAAGGTCATACGGCATTAACTCACGATGTGACGTCACTGGTATTCGAATAAACTTCAGGCGCGACAGGCCATGTTCCACCTTTACCTTTGGTGCTTGTCCACTGCAAGCATTGCCGTGATGAAGGAAGGCTCTGCCGAATTACCTGAGTGTGTAACGTCACTGACCATTAATTTGTACACTCTTTTGAAACCACCATAGGCTACAAGACATCAGCTGACGATATGATGTCACTGGGTTTCAACTAGACATCATGCGCAACAGGCCATGTTCCGTCTTTACCTTTCATACCTGTCTATTGCAAGTATTGGCGTGCTGAATGAAGGCTCTGTCGAGTCTCCTGAGTGTGTAACGTCACTGGTCAAGAGTTTTTGCGGGCTCATTTCAAGCCCCTATACGGCACAACGCATCAGCTGACGATATGACGTCACTGGTGTCCGACCTAACATCAGGCGCAACAGGCCATGTTCTATCTTTACCTTTCGTACCTGTCCATTACAAGTATTGACGTGCTGAATTAAGGCTCTGTCGAGTCTCCCGAGTGTGGGTGAATACTCAGGTGAATCGGCAAAGCCTTCATATAGCACGTGAATGCTTGCAGTAGCCAAGTAAAGATGGAACATGGCCTGTTGCGCCGAGGTTAAGTCAAATACCAGTGACGTCCTATCGTCAGCTTATGCATTATACCATATAGCGGGTTGAAAAAGCCCATAAGAACTCTTAACCAGTGACGTTACACACTCAGGAGATTCGACAGAGTCTTCCATTCAGCACGCCAATGCTTGTAAACGACAGGTATGAAAGGTAAATATGTTACATGGAACATTGCGCTTGATGTTGAGTGGAATACCAGTGACGTCATATCATCCCGCAATACTTCACGGGATATGATGCTTTGTCACATTGGGCGGCCCAAGTGCACCTGTATAAACTCATGACCGGTGACGTCACACACTCAGATGGTTTAGCATCGCCTTGCTATAGCACGCGAATGCTTGCAGTAGACGGGTATGAAAGGTACAGATAGAACATGGCCTGTTACGCATGATGTCTAGTCGAACACCAGTGACGTCATATGGTGAGCTGATGTGGTATGCCCTATAACGGGTTCAAAACATACTATAAAAATTCATGGTCAGTGACATTACAATCCGAGGTAATTTGGCAGAGCCTTCCTTCAGCATGCCAATCCTTGCAAAAGACAGGTACCAAAGGTAAAGGTGGAGCATGGCCTGTCGCGCCTGAAGTTTATTCGAACACCAGTGACGTCACATCGTTAGTAAATGCCGTATGACCCTTCGTTGGCCAAAAAGAGGCCATCCAATCTCATGACCAGTGACATCACATACAGTTGAATGCCAGTGACGTCATATCATTAGCTTATGCTTTATGGCCCTCAGTTGACCCCAAAAATCCATAAAAAATCTCATGACTAGTGACGTTGCACACACACAGGTCATTTGGCAGAGCCTACCTTCAGCACGCCAATACTTGCAGCAGACAGGTATGAAAGGTATAGATGAAGCATGGCCTGCTGCCTGATGTTCAGCCAAATATCCGTGACGTCATATCGTCAGCTGATGCCTTACGGCATTCAGCCGGTCCGAAAGAGCCCGTGAAAACCCACGACCATTGATGTCACACAATCAGTCATATAGCAGTGATGTCCTTAGCTGATACCATGTGGTCTTCAGTGGGCCCAAAAACACCGATGAAACTCATGACCAGTGATGTCACACACCCAGGCGGTTTGGTAACTTTCATTCAGCATGCCAATGCTTGCAGTAGACAGGTACGAAGGTGAAAATGAAGCACGGCCTGCTGCGACCAATAATTAGTCGAATAACAGTGATGTCACGCTATCTCTGATGATACTTCACGGAACATGACACACCGTGGCCGTGGGGCCTAAGTGCACTCGTACAAGTGATAATTAGTGACAGCACACATTCAGGTGATTCGGTCAAACCTTTATTGGGCACAAAAATGCTTGCAACAGACAGACACAAAAGGTAAAGATGGAACGAGGCCTGTTGGGCCTGATGTTTAATCAAATAACGGTGACGGCATATCGTCAGGTGATGCCTTACAACATTCATTTGACCCGAAAGAGCCCTAAAACCTCACGACCAGTGACATCATATACCCAGTTGAATACCAGTGACATCATATAACCAGCAAATGCCTTATGGGCTTCAGTGAGCCCAAAAAAACCCCATCAATGCAAAACCATTTTAAGTGATGTCACAATGTCAGCTGATGCCTCACAGCATTTCCCCAGTACGACAGTACACAAACCCTGTAGCCAGTGTAGCTCTTCCCTCTGCTGGCCATACAGGTACCAAAGTAAAAAAAAGCTGATTGAGTGAACATAAGTTCTGGAGTTGACCATGACCAGACCCAGGTGGATTGAAATAAACAAGCCTTTACATCACACCTCAGCTTTCCACCTGAGGCTCATGTTCTCTCCACCTGTATGAGCCTCGATACTGATTTCATTATCAAAGAACACTGCATCCGTGCACATAAAAGAAAGGTATGAATTAGCATTACATACATAGGAACTGCCCCAGCTCGGTGTAGCAATAGCTAACAGTATTCCAGCCAAAGACATAAGACTTGGAGAGCATTAGTAGGGGTGCCACAGCCCTGCCATCTATCACTAATTTTAGCAAGGCCTCTTCAGTGACAAATAAAGACTGAACTGAAAGGGGGATTTGAGGACCCCCAGGTCCACAGGGAACCTGACTGCATATCGCTAACTCATACCCTTCTAATTTTGGCTTAATCTCAGAGTGGGGCAGAGCCAGAAGAAAGCCAGTTGAAAAAATGATTTCCCATTCCTTTCACACGCTATGAGCCCGTCCATAATCACCCACAGCTCACCAATAACCCAGACCCACGTGGCCCCGCCGACTAACGTCGCGTTCTGGAACGAAGCAATGCCTGAGATTAACTTGCATTGCAATGTCGCATGACAATCAAAATCGCCACGCTACCAACTATGATATTTGTATGCTGCCAAATCATCTTTGAAATCCCTTCGTGATTTATTCTGAGAGGAAGTTCTGAGGAAAGTGATTCTGGCCAGCGCCGCACTTTTCTGCAGTAGCGCAAGCAGAGCGAGGTGGGGGGGGGGGGGGGGGGCACAGAGGGCACATGCCCCCTTGGGTTCAAGCCTGAAGGTCCCCTCGGGACCTGTGATTAGGGGTCCGGAAGCTCGGACGTGGCGTTTGCAGCAGGAAACACCATAAGCCCAGCTCCATCCCCGTTACTTTTTCCCATGCTGTCCGCCAGTCTGCCACGAGCAACCGCGAGGGCGACAAGCGTGAGCACCAGCGCCAGTCTGCACAGCTGGGCTGCACGCGCCTAAGGCCCTTAGTCCTCGGACTGGACCCGATCGTTGGTCCCGAAAGCCCTTCGGGCCCTATTCGGGCCTCATCGAGCACCACCCGTGGCCGAATCGGGGCCCATTGCCGATACAGGACCCCCTGTTGGCACTGTGGTCATAAGGTCTCTTTAGGCCCTTGGGCATCCGACAGACACAGGGGTGACTAATGTCAATCACCGACCCGGCCTTTGCCCCTGCTTGGGAAATGTGTCCCAGGCCCACACCGACGAGAAGCGGACCGTATGGTGCTGTTGGTGTCTGGCCGACATGCGGACACTCATCTGCTTAGGTGGATCCCGATCGGCGCAAAGGCCTTCTGGTGGGCATTTGAGGGTCCGTTCCTGCGGACCGGGGCCTCTGAATAAGAGCTAAGGCCGGCCCTTCGTGCCCTAAGGCCCTCCCATCGTGCCCTTAATCGTCGACCCCGGCTCCAGCCGCTCCTAGGACCTCCTCGAACCCTCCCATGGCCGAATCGGGCTCCATTTTCAACAGAGGGGGCCCTGTTAGGCGCTGAAGGCTTCTGACAGACGCAGGCACCCCTGGCTTTGTTCCTGTTTGGGAAGTGAGCCCTCAGGCCCATACCGACACGGAATGCACTGTGCGGTGCTGATGGTATCTGACCGACACAGAGGCCCGTATCAGCTCAGAGAACACCCAATGGGCTCAAAAAGGCCCTCTGGGTGACATTTAAGCGTCCAGCCCTGTGGGCCAGGGCCCCTGAACACGACCTCCGGCCGGCCTTTCGGGCCCGTCGAGCTCTCCAAAAGTGCCAGTAAGGCCCCTCACGACCTAAGGGGGGAGAGGGGGAGAGCACGTGCATACTGTTGCCCCTTGCCTTCGCCACTGTCAGAGGCCAATATACTTTAACCTGCCGGGGCGGTCCCGACCGTTCAAGGCAACTCATAGGTCCTAGGCTCTTCTCGTTGGCTCGGAGGCCGCTACACAGTTAACGGGGCCTCTGTGTTGAGCATTCCCTGCACCCTAGATCGCACGGATGCCGTCCACATTGGTCTTGGGTTTTCCATTTCCCGACGGACCT